AATGCTATTTTTCGATTTCTAATATACTTACATGTTATCGAAAAAAAAAAAATAGAAAAAATACTATGGACCCCATTCGGGGGAGGGGGGATTTCAGCATGTCAGACTTATGAGTCAACTCATTTTATTAAACAAATAACATTTGATTATGCACAATGAACTATGTAAAATAAGAAACAATGAAATTGAAATTAATTGTTTAATTGAATTGGAAAAAAACCATGGACAACTATTTTAGCTATTTGAATTTTTATTATTACTGCTTCTTTATTTTATGAATAATATTTTTCTATAATTCATTAAATTATGTCAATTCAAATGCTTCTCCTAGAATTTCATTAATTTCTATTTGAATGTGACTAAACCAACTATATTTATATATAGGAAAGTGCTCAAAATGAGACTAAAACATATCATTCTTTCAAAAAATAGGATCATATGTTTGATTTTTATTAAATAAGACTAAACATTATATATTTACCCCTTTATTAAATAGGATCATCTTTTTTATGGTAGTATTTTTCTTAGTTCATGCTCCTTTTTTACTAAGCAACAATGGATTATTGTTTTGCTTTTGTTATTTTCAATATATTATTAATTTATTTTATTATTATTATTAGTGTTATTGTCGTCATGATGTTATTTTTAGTATGTGTGTTATCATTATTTTATTTAATGATGATGATATATCGAGCTAGCCTCTAACAACAATTACCAAACAAGACTTATATATTCCTAAAATCTAAGGTTATATTTCAATTTGATAGTTAAATTTAATATGTAGTATGGGTTGTATGGATTAATTTCCTAACTTGAGCAATCTAGATGAGTGTTTTTGGATATATCCAAAAAGAGCAATCTAGATGGGTTACCTGCTCAATAATAAAGAGCATACAACCGGTTCTCTAAACTTTGTGTAAGGTTGAGACACATGTACTCCGTACATATAAAAGTAAAGAAATTAATTTTGATTGTATATGGGGTAAACTAAAATATAGGACATCAAATTTTATAACATTACTCCTATTTAGAAAAATAATATTGACGCCATTTAAGGTCTCTTTTATGCCATGTTAGACTTATGCGTCAACTTATTTCATCAAACTCTTACAAAAAAAACCTTCTTTTATCAAACAACTAACATGGGACTCTCCAAGTTCCGCTGGGTTGGGCTGGCCACCCTTTGGGGCCGACCCTGGCTCCCCTTTGGGCACCGTTAGGCTCAAGTAGGTAGGCTTAGGGCTAGTTTAGGATTAGGATAGGCATAGGGCTAGTTTAGACTTAGGCTTAGGCTTAGTCTTAGGTTAGGCTTAGGGCGGTGGGGGCGTTATTCCGCCTCCATGCCGTCCTGGGCCGCCTGGGGTGGCGTTATGCTGCCTCGTTTGTGCCGTGTTATGCTGCCTCGTTTGTGCCGCGTGGCGCCAAGAAAGAACAAGGAAGAAAGAAAAGGAAAGATTAAAAAAACAAGTAACATTTGATTCCGCACGATGAACTGTACGTAAAAAATCAGAAAAAGTAAAGTTGAAATAACTTTTCTAACTGAAGTGGGTAAAGAACATTAGACGACTATTTTAGCTATTTTAATATTATTGTTTATTTTATTAATAAAACATATTTAGAATAATATTTTTGTATAATTCATTAGATTATATATGTCAATTCAAATGTTTCAGACAAAATTTCATCAATTTCAATTGATTTAGCCAATTTGAATGTGACTAAACCAGCTATTTGTTTGTGAGAAAGGTGCTCAAACTAAGACTAAAGATTACATATTTACCCCTAATCTAATTAATTAATTAGTACATTTAATTTCCCTCTATTTCCCTTCTATAACCAAGGTCAGTCTGTTGATGGTGGGTCAATTCGTTGGTGGTGACAGCAAACTCCGACAGCGGCAGGCGACGGCAAAGTTCTAACAGATTGGGGGCAGTAACTTGGGGAATATTTCTGCGACCGGCATCGGACGGGCAACATGGGGCCAACAGCTCCAACCCCAACTAGGGTATATCCGTCTAATCATAAATAAAAAATTCTATTTATAGCATTTTAAACCACTTAGTTCATCTTCCTTTCTTCTTTAAAAGATGCAGAATTGGAAATTTTGCATTATTTACACACCTTACTTTCACTACGATTTTCCAATAATATATATCAGCTTTAAGGTTCAAATACGCCCATGCACCCATTCGTGATGCTCAATTTACCTTCTAAAATAAAATAAAAAACTCCAATCAACATCCTGAACTCAATAAAAACATTCAAATTTCATTTTTTGCATGTCAAGATCCGGTCACTGCCACGTCATCCGGTAAGGTGCCAATTGTGCATCAATGAATGTCACAAAGTGCGTGATTCGTCCAAGTGACTCCTATTCAATGGGTCCACATTCATCAGAATGGACAAGACTGAGTAACTCTGTATGGTTCTTTATGGCAGAATTGAAGGAAACTCTGTGTTGTTTCCCGAGTAAACAGTGCTCGCATGGATCTAAGGAAACACCTTTTTGCCCATGGAAATGCTTTCCTTCTTAGCAAGAGTTGTCAATCCTTTCACGCTCAAGTGGCCTAGCCTCCGGTGCCACAAGTTTGGTGATATTTCTCCTTCACAAGCATTGAGACTTGGATGACACGACTTTGCATGAGTTTTATAAAGAGTAGCCAACTACTTTAGCTATTTGAATATTAATGTTTCTTTATTTTATGAATATAACATATTTTGAATAATATTTTTCTATAATTCATTAAATTATGTCAATTCAAATGCTTCAGCTGGAATTTCAACCGATTTAGTCAAATTGAATGTGACTAAACCAACTATTTATTTGTGAGGAAAGTGCTCAAAATGAGAGTAAAACATATCATTTCCCCCAAAAATAGGATCATATGTTTGGTTTTTATTAAATAAGAATAAACATTACATATTTACCCCTTTATTGAATAGGATCAACTTTTTTATGGTAGTGTTTTTTCTTAGTTCATGCTCATTATTTACCAAGCAACAATGGATTGTTGTTTTACTTTTTTTATTTTCAATATATTATTATATTATTATTATTAGTGTTGTTGTCATCATCATGTTATTTTTAGTATGTATGTTATCACTATTTTATTTAATGGTGATGATAAATAGAGCTAGCCGCTAACAAGAATTACCTAACAAGACTTATATATTCCTAAAATCTAAAGTTATATTTCAATTTAATAGTTAAATTTAATACGTAGTATGGGCTGTATTGATTATTTTTCTAACTTGAGCAATCTAGATGAGTGTTTTTGGATACATCCGAAAAGAGTAATCTAGATGGGTTACGTGCTCAGTAAAGAGCATACAACGGGTTCCCTAAAATTTTGTAAGGTCGAGACACGTGTACTCCTTAAATATAAAAGTAAAAAAATTAAATTTGAATAGGTGTAAACAAAAATATGACTTCAAATTTTATAACATTACTCCTACTTAGAAAAATAATATCCACCCCATTCGTGATTAGGGGATCTCTTTTTCAGCATGTTAGACTTATGAGTCAACTTCTTTGATCAAACTCTTTAAAAAAACTTCTTTTATGAAAAAAATAACACTTGATTCCGCACAATGAACTATACGTGTAATTTTCTAGTTTCGTAATTTTCTATTTTTATTTTTTATTTTCTATTTTCGCAATTTTGACGTATTTAAGAGTTGAGGGGGTGAGTTGAACAATTCAAACAGGTTCAAGGGCTTATTTGACCCGTAAGTTGCCACGTCACGTGCACAGTTGGCACCCTATCGGTGACGTGGCGGTGACCAAATCGTAACCTGCAAAAAGTGAAATTTGAATCTTTTTATTGAATTCAGGGTGCCAATTGAAGTTTTTTTGAGTTCATGGGGCAAATTGAGCAATCCAAAAGGGTACATGGGCCTATTTGACTCTTTAGCCTATATATAAGGAAAATTTGAAAATAATAATCTCAACTATTGCCGGTCCGCTAACAATAATTCCAACTATTGATTATTTTTGTATAACCCAACTATATAGACCGTCCGCTAATAATGGTCCATGACCAGATATCACCTTCTATAACAAGTGGATTTTAAATAGAAATGAAGGGTAAAAATTAAAAGTTGAGATTATTTTTAGGGATTCTTTGCTATATCTCATCTCATTCACTTTAGAAACTACAAGAATTTGTTTATAAGGACCATTATTGGCAGAAGGTCCCTAAAGTTGGGATTATTGTGGACTAATCAATAGTTGGGATTATTATGAGCGGACCGCCAATAGTTGGAATTATTACTTTCAATTTTTCAAATTGTTATATAATATATAAAATGTTACTCCCCCTTTCCAATCAAACTTTGTCAACTTTCCTTTTTGGTTGTCCGAGAAAACTTTGTCACTTTCTCATTGTAGTAACTATTTTGTGATTATGCTAATTTCTCTCTCCTCTGCACAGACTGTAAACACACAATTTTTGTTATTCTTATTTTTCACCTAATTCAAAGGTGTAAAGTCCATTAGGACGGAGGTAGTGTTAAACTTCTATTAATGTAAATTTCAAAAATATTAAGTTTTGTTAAAACATACTAATATACAAAATTAAATATAATTACAGTCAAAGTTGTGTATTGACAAATGTGAATGTCAAACTGTTGCAAATTTTAAATAAAATAGATGGTATATATGAAAAGACATTATCTTGATCTTATTTGGAGAGCTCAGATAGCCCCTCTATTTATTTTCCTATTTACTTTGTAGGATTTACAGAGTTATTTTTAGATTCATATTAGGATGTTTTTACTTGACTGAGTTTTTTTTTGTATGGTCAGATGGTCTTGTCTAATCTGGTCCGATGTAGAACTGGTTTGTTTGGATCTAATAAATGTTTAATCTCTGTATATCTTATAACTGTTTAAATCTGGTCTGGTTTGGTGATTCAAAATTTGTAATGTTTAATGGGTAAAATTTGAATACTTGAATATAAAACCCTTAAAATTTGAATATTCAAATCCATCGCCAGACTTGCGAGTTTCGATTCTACAGACCACAGTAAGTGAGTAAACTTCACTCTTTTCCTTAGATCATCTTCAGTGGATAAGCAATGGTAAGGGAGAAAATGGGGAAGACCTTCACTGTGGCGAAATCAAGCATTATCGCAAAACCAGGTGGAGATTTTTACGAGGATGATCGGCACTTACTCGTGACTCACAATCTGAAACGGCTAACACCGTCAGCTACACAACTACGTGTCCTTGTTGCTGACTGCATCCGACGCACAAAAGTTTCTTCCTCCAAAGAACCGATTTTTATCTACATTATGGCCTCACGTCATCGCACCGTTTCTTCGAGACTCTTACCCGATACATATCGGTTCCCCACCGATATATATATCAGTGCCTGGGCGGAGGAAACCAAGCAAATCCCACCTCTGCATTCGGTAAATCCTCCATAGCTTCAAGCAAACCTTGCTCTAATAGTATTTGGGTAAGCTCTGGTTGTGCTTGTTAGTTGATTTCCGCATGCTTATATGTGTTTTAGCTTTCGGTGCGTTTGTTGAGAGAAAGATTTGGTATTTGCTTGATAGCTTGTTTGCTTAAATTTGTATGCAAAGCTCAACTGTGGGGTTAAAATGTAGTTTTGGATTGAGGATTCAGGTGTTCAAGTGTTGCCTCTGATAAAATAGTTTTGGCTCAATTGATTCTTCATTCATCATGTTTTGGGTGTGGGGGGTATTTTATGGAAACATAGCAGGAATGAATCTGCTTATTTGGTTGTCTACTGACTTTCTGTTGATTCCCTTTGTGCTCTGTGATGGAAGCTATATAGCTAATGCAAAATGCTTGTTGCTTTTAAGCTCTGCCGGGTAGAGGAGGCGTACATGTGGTGTGGCTACACCCCATGAAACAAATGATCACTTCTGTATGAACTTAATTGATAATTTTGAACTTATTATTGGCAGCTAATCATCTGCTAATTCAGTTCTGGAGATGACCCGTTTTTACCTTTTTAGCAAAAGCATTATTACCTTTACATGGTTATTAAAAGTTTTAATGGGTTTTCTTGAAGTACATGGATTTTTTTTTTAAAAAAAATTACTGTTTATACTTTAAAAGGTGAATCTTTTACGTTTTTTTTCTTTTACTTTGCGTTATCAACTTGTCTTTTAATATTATCATTCAAAATACATGTATGTTTCTGAATATTTTTATCTACATGGCATTAATCTTGTGTTCATAGCCGATATGGGAGGATTTTGCTGTGCTGCAAGGAAGCCTCTTCTCGAGAGAACCACCTATGTGAGTACTCATTCGGGCTATATTCTACTTCATGTGACTCATTTCTAACTCTTAGTCTTAACTTTACTAGTGGTGTTATTTAAGGTACACAACATTATAGACCTTCTAAACTTTTTTATTATATTTTTTCCGTTTGGTGGTCTTGAGTGTTCATTTTATTTCTCTTGATTCTTTTCAGTGCAAAAGTTGTATAGAAAACTTCGTTGAGATTGTAACATTACTATTATTCATTGTATTGTTATTGTTAATATTATTATTTTTCTGCATGTTTTGACAGTATTTGCCATCTTCAGAGGAGCAGGAACCATTAACTTCAAATGACAGTGAAGCCGCTGGATATGCAGCAAATTTGGATACGTCACGCCTTGACACATTCCGCGCACCGCCCCAGCCTCTTCCGTTTGATGTGTTCTATGGTTGTCCAAGTCCGTCACACACCGCAGATTCAAGGTAAGTAATTGATCTGATTATACTCCATAATGAAACTGTGTGGTTAGATATAGATGTTTTGACTTGTCTCTTCTTTCATCATGGAAATTTGACTTTGCATGGTTAATTTCAAGGCCTCTTTCCAGCCTCTCGCCTAAAGAAGAAGAAGAAGTTTGTCCCACTTGTCTTGAAGGTATGTGTCCAATCTTGGCAATAAAATTAATTGAACCCCATAATATCATGTGTTAATCCATCAAGGATTATTGATAAACTAATTAAAACCAAATGTAGTTAAATATGGATTTCCATGGACTTTCTTTAAACTGAGTTGAAATATTGTAAAAGTTACTAATTACCTAACTGGTGCTGAAAACATTGATTCTGAATTAAGGTGCTTCCAAAAATGTGACTAGACATGTAACTGCAGAGTTCTGCTGGACTATGCAATGCTGTTTCAAATTATGAATGTTCAACTCACACTGACCTATCAAGCCAACTATCTTTTTATTTAAGTTTAAATTCATTAAGAATGTCTAGATGCTTCAAGCTCCAAGATGATTCATAGTTTACATTGAACCTTTCACGTAAAATAGTTATTATAAATGTTGGGATTCATCCATACTTAGATTTTGTTAAATTTTTGGTAAGTTTTGTTAGATTCCACTCCGTCCATCTCTATTCAATTTACTTGCTTCCTTTCGGTCTATCTATCGATAGGGGGGTTATTAAAAAAGGGTAGTAAAGTAAAATAAGACATTTACTTGTGCCAAATAAGGATGGAGGAATGTGTTGCATATAATTTCCCTAACAGGTTTTGGTGGCCAGTGAAGTGTCAGTCACATTATGCACAAAGATCTTTGCATGTTAATCTTAGTTGATTGAATTAGTTAAAACACAATCAAATAGTACAAAACATTAAAAACCATGAAACTACTGTGCAAAAAGGGACAGAGAGATTATTGGATATAATCCCTTGCATTTTTTTGGTAGCCACTTACATAATGTGCAAGGATATATATTCAACAACACATTCTAACTTTATCTGATTAAATTAGTTCCTTGAGTCTTTGAAGCAGTCTCTCTTATAGAAAGGTGTGTATATCTGCTCTATCTAAGCTAACTTTGAGGGTATGAAGTAAAATTTATGCAACACCTCCCATAAGTTCAACCTTAAGAACAAAACATATAAAAGTAGATACCTATTAATCCTATTAAAGTATATTTTAGGCCCTTTCTCCCTTCTTTTCTTTCTCTTTTTCTGGTTGTCAAATATCATGATCAGGCACATGTGTGTCTTGGTTGCAGAGTACGATGATGACAACCCAAAAATAAAAACCCAATGCAACCATCATTTCCATCTCGCTTGCATCCTTGATTGGAGAAAAAGAAGCGACACCTGCCCCATATGCAATCAGGTTGGTTTTTTTTGTTTTCTTTACCACCCTTGACGAATTCGGTCAGCTTTTCCCAGCTTTGAGATTGGTGTTGTAATTTGTTGTGATGTGTGATGATAAATGAGACTTCAGTTTGAAGGTCAATTTGCTTTAGGTCAATGTTTCCATCTTGATCTTTGTCTATTTTTTTTGCCAGGAAATGATATATGAAAGTGAACCTCTGCGATACATAAAGGTTGATTAGCTGGACATTGTAGTCATACTGTTCTATGTAAAGGACACAGATTTTTATTCCCAGTTTTGGATTTTGTAGTCATGTTACACCTGTACAGGTCTCTTTCTTTTTGTAATTTTGTATATTATTCTGTAATTATTTTATCAGGCTGATTATGTTTTTTATTCATTATACAATCACATTAGTGATCAGTTTTGACATGCTAGCCGTTAAAAACAATTATTTTTCGAACTTTGGTAAAAGAATGTCACCCGAATTCTATTGGCTTTTGATATGAAAAACTGTTGGCTATTAACTAGATTAGAATGTAGAGTTGTAGACATAAAGATGAGATTCAACAGTTCATTGGTATCTATTGTAGTGGTCAGTGGGATTGGTTGAGAACATATAGTATAATTGGTTTCTGCATTGTTGGTCAAGATGTTACCTGAACATAATAAATGGATATATGCATTCACATACTAGGGCTGTTGGTACGCAGTGCATCTGTGCATATCATTCACTACCTTCCATATTGCTTCAAATGGGAAGTTGGGAACTGATGATACTTCTAGAGGAGATCTTAATAGGTGATGTTTTTGGAAGCTGTTGTAGTCTTGCAAGCTCAGCTCGGGGGAAGTTGTTCAGAAGTAAAAAATAGACTAGGCATGCATTTGGGTCGGTCCGCTCCCGAGCTGAGACCGCCTGGTCCCTGCAAAATATGGTCTAGCCCGGGTCTGACCCGTATAATCCCGAGTCTTGGCCGGTTCCGGGTACCTAGCTGGTCTCGTTCCGAACCCGTTTCCATTATTTCGTTATATGTTTTGCCCGGTTCCAAGCCTATTTTTTTTGCTGGTCGAGATTGAAATCGAGACCGGGACCGACCGGTTCGGTCTCCGAATTGTTTAACCAGGACTGTGTACCCCATACACCGGTCGGGTACCCGGTCTTCACCCAGAACCGAAAAAATGGACCCGATCCAGTCCCACACAACACCGGACCCGGTTCCGGACCGCCCGACTGGGTCTATGCCTAAATTAGAGTATGAAATATGTTGAGGTGATGAATGGTAAATATCTCTTCCATAAAATTTGGAAAATTATATTACTTGTTACGCCTCCATAGTGAGTTGTTACGTTCAATCCTTTTTTGCTACTCATACATTATAGGAAAAATTGAAAAATAACAATATTAATTATTGCTGATCTGCTATTAATAACCTCAGTTATTAATAGTTTGGGTGTTCCCAACTATAAGAGTCATCTATCAATAGTAGTTCTTTGTGACCGATCACCGATTGTCCAAGTAAAAAAATGATACTATCGTATTTATTTATAATAATTCGAAAGGTCCACTATTAATAATCCCAATATTACAAATCGAAAATGTTAGAAATAAACTCAAAAAAGTAGTCCATTCTTAGTGTATGATTGTATGCATTTTCAGGTTCTAATGTATTGCATTTTTTGGGTGTAATCATGGTAATTTTCAGGTTCTAATGTATTGCATTTTCCCATGTCCTTGGGTAAATTATAGTTACATACGTAGTATATATAACAAATAACAAATGGGTGGGGTGACATTAATGAAGAAACGTAATGGAAAAATGGGGAAGAGCTCCCCTCTCGCGAAATGAAATCAAGCAATCGCAAAAAACCAGGCGTAGATTTCTACGGCAATTTTCATGTGAGTCAGAATCTGAAACGGCTATCGGTGCATTGTCAGCTAGTCAACTACTCGTACTTGTTGCTTTCTGCGCCCGACTCCCCAAAATTTCTTCCCAATTTCCACCAAAGAGCCATTCCTTTTCATATTTTGGCCTCGCATCTTTGCATCATTGCAGTTACACCCCACACCTGATATAGAGAGATACCCCACTCGGAGTTTGAAAAAGTGTGTGAGAAGTGGAAAACTGAAACCCTTTTTACCTTCACTTCAATCCAATTGCTCTTCACCGAACCATATAACCCTTCAGTAAGCTCTTGCTATGCTTCTAATTTTTCTTTATGTGGGTATATATGTATGCTCTTTCAGTGCGTTTGTTGTGAGAGGAAGACATGAATATTTGTGTGGAATGATGTTTGTTTGCTTAAATATCTTTGCAAAATCAAATTTTGGGGTTAAAGTTGGTTATGGGTTTTCCTCACCGCAGAAATATCAGCTAGCTCTATTGGCTCTGATCAATTGATTTTGGTGGATTGTTTAGTTTATTGAAACTCTGAAAGCATAGTAGGATTGAAATTGGTTTGGTTATTTGGTTGTCTGTTGATTTCCTTTTCGCCAATTCTGTGATGGATGTTAATTGCTTATAGTTTTGAGTTCCACCTGGTGGGGCTACCCTCATGAAGATAATAAAAAAGTAGACCATATCATTTCAAACTTTAAGAGCTATTTAGGAGTGTTTCTGCATGAACTTAAATGGCCAGTTTTAGGAAATTATTGATGGCTAATCATTTGAAATCTTCTCATCTTGATCGGTTTTCTCCTCTTAACAATAATGTTCTTGTGTTTTACCTAGTCATTATAAGCTTTGAAGGATCTCTCAGTACATGGGAAAGAATAATTTATAAACCATAGCTTTATACTTGTAAGTGAACATTTATTATATGCCTTTTTCTTTATATTAAAGTATAATTTATAGATATTAAAGTATAATTCATGAACTTCGCTTTTCACTTTTGTAGTAAAACGTACATGTGCTTTTATGAATATTTCTAATTTCATGCCATTGTTCATTTGTTAAATTTTTCTGTAGCTGGAATGGGAGGATGCTGTTGTTCTGCAAGGAAGAATCTGCTGCAGGGAACCCCTGTATTTCACTATGTGGGTACTCATTTGAATTATATGGTGTTTTTTATGTGAGACGTTTTTAACTTCTTACTTGGTCAGTGCTATTATTTAAGGTAGATAACAATCATAACATTAGAGATCATTTCTTCTTTTTTTTGCAGTATGGTTGTGACTTGTGAGGCTTGATGTTGTCTCTTTTGTTAAATTTAGTGCAATTTTTTTATGAACAAGTATGTTGAGAGTTTGAATTTATTATTAATATTATTAATATTATTACTATTAATATTAGAGGGTCTTTTGGTTTGTCCTATAATATTACTAGAGTAAAATCTATGGATAAAGATACGAGCACATCATCATTAGAGTCAGTGTGAAAATCCTACTACAATGGAAGATCACCATACTATTACTACCCAGTACCCACCATAGTCACTACTTTGTATAAGTCATGTTTTTGTCCATCACTTATTTTGGTCAATTACTTGTCACAGTATCTTATTATTATTATTATTATTATTATTATTATTATTATTATTATTTTTATTATTATTATTATTATTATTATTATTATTATTATTATTATTATTATTACTATTTCGACAGTATTCGCCGTCTTTAGAGGAGCACGAGTCTTTGACGTCAAATGACAGTGCAGCCACTGGATTCACAACTGATTTGGACCTTGATACCTCAAGCCCTGACACTTTTCACCCGCCACCCAGGCCGATTCCATTTGATGCACTCTTGGGGTGTCCACAACCATCTGATGCCATAGATTCAAGGTTCAGTAAATGCAGTGATTAGACTTCCTATAGCTGTGATAAAACACTACGTAGATATTAAGGTTTTTGACTTGTCTCTTCCTTCTTCAAGGAAAAATGAGCTTGAGCGTTTAAAATCAAGTTCGCTTGCCCTTTCCCTGGACGAAGAAGAGGATGTTTGTCCCACTTGTCTTGAAGGTATGTCTACAATCATAGCAGCTGAACTACTTGAATCGCATAATATTTTGTGCTAATTGCATGTCAGCCCACTTTTTCCATCATTTGCAATGGAGCCAAAGATTCATTATTTTTTGGCTTGAGAATATGATGGAATAAAGCAAAATGGATCATTAAACTGTCTACGCTTCTTTGTTATGAAGCAGCAGTCAGTCCATGCAATTTTGGACACGATTTTCACTATGGGTCATCCGGAAACAGTCTCTCTATGCTTTAGTACAGGGGTAAGACTGCGTACATCCGACTCCCCTTATCCCACCGTAGGTGGGGAGCCTTTGCGGCACTGGGGTAAATGAAAATGATGAAAATGATGATGCATGTCAGCCCACTGAGGAGTACTAATAAACTACATATTTTTTACCAAATTAATCTAACTATGGAATTATTTGAAGCCATTTAATACTTGGTTAATAAGGTAAAGTAATTATCATTCATGTTGGCATTGATTTATGTCCAGTTTTTGTGAAATCTGAGGCAGGTGTTGTTACAAGCTACTCCCCTCCGTCTCTAATTAAATTCTTGCTTTCCTTTTCGGTCTATAACTAAATAATATCTCTGTCCTTATTTGGTTAAAATAAAAGACTTCATTTACTTTACTACCCTTTTTTTATATGCCAACATACCACTGTTTATCATTCTCAACTACATATCAGCAATGGAAAACTTAGAAGTGGAAAAGAAAAAATAATGATTCTCAACTACATTCTAACCTTAGCTGATTAAATTAGTTCATTGAGTTGTTAAAACATCTCCCCTTATAGAAGTAAATCCATTTATGCTGAAGTTGTGCAAAACCACCCATAAGTTCATATTTAACACCATATCATGTAAAATTAGAGAAATGTTAACCTTACTTATTGGTATTTAATCAGGTGTGTGACTGTATATCTGTGTATGTGGCATTGCAGAGTATAGTGCTGACAACCCAAGAATAACAGCCAAATGCAAACACCATTTTCACCTTTCGTGCATCCTGGAATGGAGGGAAAGAAGTGACACATGCCCAATATGCAATCAGGTTTTCTTTACTTTTATTTTTCTTCATTCTCTCTCTCTTTCGTTAATACCTCCTACGACTTCGATTAATTTATCCACAGCTTTGAGATTGTATTTGCATTTTGTTGGTGATATGATAATAAGTGAAACTTTAGTTTGAAGATCAATTTGCACTAGGCCAGTTTTGCCTTCCTGATTTTATTCCACACTGGTACTCAATTTTTGTCTCTTTTTGTGTGGCAGGAAATGATATGTGAAAATGAACCCCTTTGATGGATTAAGTTTTTTTTTTTACCAAAATCAAATCAGCTTAGATCGATAAATTTATGGTTCAAAGTAAATACAATCAGGAGGATCACCATGCCAAACATAACAACCAGACATAGAACCAACAACCTTAGCCAAGTCGTGGGCTACCCGATTCGCGGACCGCTTCATGAGCAAACTCAATACCAAAAGTGTTAGCTGCCACTAGCTCTTTGATGATGTATTTAGGTTAGCTAGCTGAATGTGGAAAGTGTAGTCATCCTGTTTATGCAAAGGCCAAGATAGATTTTATTTCCAGTTTTGTGTGCTGTAGCACACCTGGAAATTTTTCCTTATGTTACCATAATCCTGTATAGGTATCTGTTTTCTGTTGTAAATTAGTTTACTTTTCTGTAAATATTGTATTGGTTTTTATTTTTATTCTACAACATGTTTGCTGTTGTATTATATACTCCGTATTAAATAGTCATGTACAATTGCATAAGTTATGAGTTAACAGTTTTGAGATGGTAGCTGTTGCATTTAGTCTTTCTTTTGATTTTGTTAAGTCTTAAAAGCAAATAATACAAAGGACAAAAATAATTAAATACGTTAAAGCAAATGTTGTAAAAAAAACGTCCATGCAAAGGCTAAAAGTAGACCCCCGCATTATTTTTGTAGTTAAGAATAATAAAGTTGGAAGTTGGAAGTTGGAACTTGGATGTGGTGGGGTTGTGGGAAACCGGGGGAATTATCACTTTGGTGGATCTTACAAGTTTAAACTTTGGATACGGAAAATTGGGGTTTACAAGAACATATGGGCAATTGCAAAAATTTATCGGATTTCTCCGACTAGGTGTCTTGGCGGTGGAGGAGCGTCGCCAGGGAAGATTAGTTGCCTCCGGCGTCATCCAGGTGTAAACATGTCGCACAGTCCGGCATCACACCAGGGGAGATTTGAAATCTCAATAAATTCATTTTTAGAAGTCCAGGCCCAGCCCAAAAGAACAATCGTCGACTCTCAAACTCGAAGGTCAATGGACACTCCTAAAGGCGAAGCATCGCTAGTGGCTACATCTCGGCAGCTCGGCTTCGTGCCTTTGTCGCAAGGTTGAAGACGAGTAGGTGACGTGTAGGTTGTAGGTTGTAGTTGCTGTGTGCCTGCGTCAAAGGTTGAAGGCGACCTGCACTCTTGACTCTTCTCCTGCTTTTTATTTTTATCGATCTATCTTATTTAGGGTTAAATGAATCGAAACGAGTCGAATAATGCGATTTTGTATTTGTATTTGTTTAATTTTTTCGAATATGAATCCAAATTCGAATATGAAACGAATATTAATTTCGATTTGTATTCATATTTGTTTAACAAATCGAATCGATTTCAGCATAAGTTAAATATTATTCAAATATCACTTTTAAAAAACTTTTTTACATGTATTATGTTTTATGTTATAAATGCATGTTATGAATTAATATGTGTTTTTTTTTAATTTGTAAAATCCTTTAAAAAAGAATTTAATTTGTAACATTACATTTTTCTTTAAAATTTAATGGATCAATGCATTTTAGATTGTGCATAATATACTAAAGTGAATCAATTTTATGATTAATAAACATAAATCTATTTCAATGCTTTTGTAATAAACACTAACACACATATTAGAAATTATACGTATAATGTTTGAAATAAATTCATAATTGTATATATCAAAGTCAAACGACTCTAATTTTATATTGGATATTTAACATTGTTGCTAATAAAAAAAATCATTAGATATATATTATATATTATACACGCGTATATATATATATATATATATATATATATATATATATATATATATATATATATTAATTAGTTGAGTTTGTTTATGTGTAAATGAATATGTTGATTATCCTTCGAATCGAATACATACTTATTTGTATACGTATTTGAAAGATGTTTGAACCAACAATCTGATTTGTATTCATATTTATATTCTATAGTTCCGATTTAAATCGTAATTTTTGAATTCAAATCACGAATTAAATTACAATTATTTGCTTCGTTTATAACCCTAATTTCGTATGATACTTTGAATTTATACTACATATGGACTTAGGAATTGGGATTGTATATGTCAATGTATATATGAGCAACACTTTGAGGGTATAGCTATTTTTTAAAAATTAGTATAATATTATTACTATTGTTATTAATATTACAAAGGGAAAAGGGGCAAATAAGCTCTCGAACTAACCAAAAAATTGCAAATCACCCCATATATAGGAGGTTCTGGCCAACCGTCGCCGTTTAAGGCGGTTCCCGGTGGAATTTTTTTATGAAAGTTTTTTAGCATTTTCTTCATTAAGTCTAGTTTACCCATATGAAATTTCAACTGAAAATAAAACCGGGAAGGTAGTCAAATGATTTTCTGAAATATACCGCGCTGTTTAACTGCGCAGTTACCTTCAAAAATTCATTTGACTGCCTTCCCGATTGAATTTTTATCTGAAATTTGGTATGGCTAAACTAGACTTAATGAAGAAGATTCTAAATAAAAATCATCAAAAAAATCCACTGGGAACCTCCCCAAATGACGACGTCCAGACAGAACCTCCTGTATAAGGGGTGATTTGTACTTTTTTTGGTTAGTTCGAGGGCTTATTTGCTCCTTTTCCATATTACTAATGGAATGCATTTGATTAACATTCGAATCAAATACACTGATATTCTTATTTAGTTATTTGTATTTGGTAACATTTTGAATCAAATTTAGTATTCGTATTTGTATTTGTATTTGAGTTTTTCGAGTTCGATGTCATATACGAATTTGAATCCCGACCGAGCATAAATTATTTGATTCGTTTACAACCCTAAATTCTCATCCCTTTAGTCTTTATCATACTTATTATTCCATTATATATTAATATTAATATTAATATATTTTATATGGGGTTACTCACTAAGTAGTCTACCCACTGTAGTTTTACATGTATAATTTGTATACACTTTACAGCATGTATAGATACACACTACGGTATATATTTCCTACTACAATTTTACATGGTTTAATTTTAATATAATGCATGTATAATTCCTATACACAATACATTATATATTCGACGTGTTCATGGCTAGGAGACGCCAAAGGCGACTAATCTTCTTCATCATCGTCAGGATGTCTAGTCAGAGAACTCCAATAAATTTTCGCAGTGTATACGGCTGGCTGGACAACGCCTAAGGCGACTAATCTTCTTCCGACAAGTTGATCTCCCTGGCGACCCTTCTCCATCGCCAGGGCCCGAATGTATGCCTATACGGGCAATAAAGTTTTGGAGAAAATGACGCCCATAAAGTCATAAACCATAGTCGCTCACTCGCTCCTCCGATCCACTGCTGCATATAATCTAATTAAAAGAGTAGGACATACTTTAAGCTCATATGATTTCAAGAAAAGATTTAGGACAAAGGTGTTGAAAAAATTGTATTAAAGTAGATGACTCAAAATGTGGTTTTATCTTCAAATTATCTAAAGAGAGACTATTTTAAAATATATGTGAAAAAAACTTTTAAATCGACTATCTATTGATTTATTTTTATCTATACATAATTATAGAATTACATTTTTAACATACACTTTTAGTACGATATGATATCAGCTTGCGATTGGTTCTAAATGTGCGGTTGGATCGAAATATATTTAATATATGGTGAGCCATTAGTGCGTAAAGAACCGTTATATCGACGGATATATGATGAGTCACAGTCTCACAGAACCACTCACTATCACAAAAAATGATTCGACATTTATGACATGATATTTGATAAAATAGCGTATTGATTATATTTGACCAATAATAGTAATAATAATAATAATGATAATAATAATAATAACGATTTTTCTATCATTGATAAGGAAAAAGGAGAAAAATCGAAAGAGTGAGGGGCTTCTACTAGATAAGGGGTAAAAAATGAATAGAAAAAAGATGAATCAAAATATTCCATGAGGCCTAACAGACCAACAAAATTAGTAGAAGAGTTTTTTTTTTTTGAGAAAATGGAAACTAATAATCCAACCTTTTAGCGGTCTTCTTACAATAGTCATACCTTTTCGTTGTTCATGAATAATCCAACTTCTGCACCTCATCTTCATTCACTGGTCTCTGACCGGTTGATGACCTGTTATTCCAAATTATTTTCTTATCTTTGCACACCATTATACCATAAATCTCACCTTTCACAAAGATAATTGTTAAACACGGGGTTCCATCCTAAAAGGTCAACCTTATAGGAGGAGTAGCTCATGTGTTAATATAGCACTTTGTTCATCCAAACCTTTCCGGTGTGGGACATTTTACCACTCATCCTCATGACCAGACAATAATATTTTGTAAAGATAAGAAAATAACTTAGAATAGCAGGTCATTAACCGGTCAGAGACCAGTGAATGAAGATGAGGTGTAAAGGTTGAATTATTCTTGAATAACGAAAAGGTGGGACTATTGTAAAAAGACTGATAAAAGGTTGAGTTATTAGTTTCCATTTTCCTTTTTTTGAAGGAAAAATTAGTAGACCAGTTGAAATGCTGATTAATTATGATGTGAATCTAGAGTGGGACTATTACAAATGGGGTTATGATGTGAATATTACTTTTTTTTAAAGGGATGTGAATATTACTACAAACTAAGTTTTATAACAAAAGATATTTTTTGAGTTTAAAAAAATGTGACTAAATAAGTCCCTAATATGGAAACTCCTAAAAGTATATTGCTAAACTATCTATTGTTTTATATAGTAAAACTGAGTTACAACTCAATGATGTGTCAATCTCTCATTGGTTACTAAAAATTCTATTATCACTCATATTAAAACTTTAATTAAATCTCCCTAAGTCCACACGGTTCATCACAACCTATTCACCTTAATTAGGCTAACTCATTTGGAAAATGTTAGGAGAAAAAATCTCTTATTTTTAAAGTGTTATAACATTTTTATTTGTACTCCAATTTTCATAAAAAATATATCAAAATTCAAAATTTTTTATGATCTTTCATATTACACCAATATTACATATGTAAAAATAAAAAATTTGAAGATTCAATTGATGGAGATTTTTAAGCTTAGAACTATTTTATCAATAAAAGCCCAAAACGTTGTTTTTGAGTAGATTGAAATCTGAAAATTAAGATTTCATATTTAATTTTTACATTTTTGAGTTCATATTTCAAAAAAATGTCTAAAACACTGGATTTCTTATTGCATATTGTTCTATATAGTAAATTTGAATTATGAAATGCTACGTGTGACTCTCTTATTGACTTCGCATAATACATATTAACATTTCTAATTTTATAATCGTTGTTTAACTCAATTAATTACATTTAAAAATAATAAATTCCACATTAAACTGAAATTATTAGTTTAGTGTGTTCAATCAATCATCATTTACCCCAGTGCCGCAAAGGCTCCCACCTACGGTGATGTGGGGGGGGGGGGGTCGGATGTATGCAGTCTTACCCCTGTACTAAAGCTCAGAGAGACTGTTTCCGGATGACCCATAATGAAAATCGCGTCCAAAATTGCATTGAGTGACTGCTGCTTCATGACAAAGAAGAACAGACAGTTTGGTGAACCATTTTGCTTTATTCCATCATATTCTCAAGCCAAGAAATAATGAATTTTTGGCTCCATTGCAAATGATGCAAATATCAGTTTAGTTTGTTACAAAAACATTTAATTTTTTTATAGCAAACTAACGTAACCAGTTGTTGAGTAATTAAAATTGGTTAAAAACAGCTTCAAATAATCAGATCAAATAATTATTACAACAGTTATAATAAAAGTCTATTACCTATCTCTCCAATTCTACTCATGATTTATATTTACACTTACATGATGCATATGTAAGTGTAATATAAACATTTTAAATGTAAGTGTAATCCAATGTAAATATTAATGCATATTAACATCTCTAATTTTACAATCGTTGTTTAACTCGTTAATTTTACAACAATTAATTTATTTATAACACCTACACAATATGCTTAATTATTGATTGGGTTGTGCATTAAATTATATTGTAAATTATTTTTTAAATTCAATACTTCAGTTATATGCATAGATACACTCAGTTTATACGGTGTGTAAAAACATTATGATATGAAAACATAATAACCATATGCATATATGTATCTGGTCGTGAGGAGGGGTGTTAAATGTCCCACACTGGAAAAGTTTGGATGAACAAAATGCTATATTAACACATGAGCTAATCCTCCTATCAGGTTGACCTTTTAGGATGGAACCCCGTGTCTTAACAATATAACAATATAACACAATCAAAATCTTCACAGTAAAAATAATATACATAACACTTTTGTTATTCTAGCTTCAATTATGCACAATTGCAATTAAGAATAACAATAATATACTCTCATCATCCCAACGAAACCCAACGAAACTGCAACATGGAAACAACGAGGATAAGCGGGATCGCGACACGTGTTGGGGCTGCAATATTGTAGTTGCATTCTTTAGCGCAACCGCATCTGGCCGCAATGGAGGTAAAATTTCAATTCGCGGGGAAAATCTACTATGTAACCCAACAAAACCACAATGGGGCCATATCAGATCGTATGAAGACACCAACACTAATTATTTTCTCATTTCGTTTGAATTTAAAATTTAATTAATAGTAAAAGGCATTATATTAAACTTTGGATCTTATGAATAATTCACAAGATTTGTTACTACGTGGAGTAATATTTTTCATTTTAACTACTCATACTCCACATCAAATTGACGTGCTACCAGGGCATTGCCCCGGGCTTTACACTAGTCCTTCCTAAAACCAAGTGACATTATATGACGATAATCTCACTTCAGCGCCCTAGTGACCTACTACTAGTGACTTCAGTGACCCACTACCGCAAAGTGACCCACAACAACCTTAACCAACTGAGTGTAACTTTGGTGATAGTAACTTGTTGCCCCAATGACTCCACACAGTCCTAGTGACCAACTAATAGTGACCCTCACGACATTGATCCATACCGGTGTGCAATGTCCATTCCACCTATGACAATTGACACATGCACCACCTAGTTGTTACCTAGGACCCTAGCCTCCACCAACTAGCCCAAATTTCTAATCGTTGTTGTAGCCCCTCCCAAAACCCTAGTCACCGCCAATTCGCCCAAACCCCTAGTTATTGACAGCGCCCCACTCAACAATTGTAGCCATTGCGGTCACCACCGCCCATTAACCATAGCCAGTTGCTTCCATTGCATTCGATCTAATTAAAATTGTAGCCATCATTGCCATCAAGTTTTGTCCACTCCCAATCAAACACATGATGTCGATTCAAATCATTGTTTTGAACCAATTGCTAGAGAATGGCATTAATGCCTCCTCAAATAGCCATGTAGAAGACGAGGATAGAACCCATCGAATAGAAGAAGAGAGGAGTTCGACTGTAGTGGTTGCGGCAATGGTGCGATGCAGTGATGGTGGGATGCGGTTGTGGAGAAGATGATGCGAGAAAGAGGATTGTGGGGGAGACGATCAAGGCTGAGTGAGACACCAACAAAGGATTGCTTTTTTTATGAAAGGTTTTCTTAGTCCATTCATTGTGTTTAGTCTTTTCTTTTGTCCAAATAAAAAGTCTTATTTTTGTTTAGATGAATCAAGGTATTCTTGGGACCTTAGAGACTAATGAAAGTCGATATGTAAAAAATGCCTGGTTATTGACAAATATCTGAAGTGAGACTATTTTTAAATATTTATGAAAATATATTAAATCGATTTTTTTTCATGATTTATTTTTATCTACACACAATTATAAAATTAAATTTGTAACAAACACATTGATTATTACGATATGACATCAGTTTGCGAGTCAATGTGCATGGTTGGATCGAAAGACATGGTTGCGCTATTAGTGCGAAAGCAACCGTTATGATTATCGATAAATATCTGATGAGTCACATAATCGTAGACTATCACCAAAAGTGACTCGACATTTACGATATTAAATAAATGGTGTATTAATTATAACCGATAACAATGATGATGAAAATAATAATAATAATAATAATAATAATAGCTTTTGTATCCTTAATAAGGAAAGAAGAAAAAGAGAGACTGGGGGGCTTCTGGTGGACAAGGGGTGAAGAAAATTGTAAAAAACGGATGAATCAAGGTGTTCCTTAGACCTTAGAGACCAACGAAAGTAACAGAGTCGAATAGATTATCTGCAAATTATCTATAGTGAGACTATTTTGGGGATTTGAGGTGAATATTACTAAAAATGAGTTTTGGAAAAATATGTTTCCTGAATTTCAAAACATGTGACTAAATATCTACACAAGTCCTTAATTGGGATACTTCTAAAAGCATGCTAAATTACCACTTATAAGGTCAAGTGACATTATCTAGTAGTGACCTCACATTGGCGCCCCAAAAACCTATTGCCATTGACTCCGCTGATCTGCTGCCACCCTAGTGAGCCACCGTAGTACTTACCCACCTAGGGTGATCCTGCAATAGTGACTCATCTCCACATTGAATTGAGGCAACCCCACATATATGACGATAGTGAATCGTTGTCGTGCTAACTTCAGGCAACCCCAGCGATCAATTAGTAATGACCCCATATTGGCGCCAATGACCACTCCACCTATCCCAGTGACACAAGCACCACCCAACTGCTGCCTAGGACTCTAGCCTCAACCAACTAGCCAAAAATCCTAATCGTTGCGATAGCCCTGTCAGAATCTTAGATTCTGACAATTAGCCCAAAACCCTAATTGTTGTCGTCGCCCCGCTCAAAAATTCCAGCCACCGCTGTCACCGCCTCCCATTAACCATTGTCACACCACTTCCTCATTCGATCTAATTAAAACTGTAGCCATCACTATTGTCCGACAGTCTCTATCCACTCCCATTCGATCATATGACCCCGACTCAAATCATTGTCATAATCCAATCTCCAAAAATTGGCATCAATGCCTCCTCAAACAGCTACATAGAAGAAGAGAAGAGAATCTATCAATTAAAAGAAGAGAAGAGTTCAACGACAATGGTGTGATGCGGTGATGGTGGGATGTGGTGGTGGAGAAGATGACGCGAGAAAGGGGATTTTGGGAAAGATGATCGATCCAAGGGACACAACAACAAAGGGTACACTTTTTTATTTTTACCAATGATGTTTTAGTCCATTCATTCATATTTAGTCTTTTTATCGAGATAAAAGTCTTATTTTTGTTCAGATGAGTCAAGGTATTCCTCGGAATCAATAAGACCAGTTGAGTAAAAAATGAGATAGGGTCGCACTATTTGTACGTAAACAACCATTATAAATCATCGATGAGTGTCTGTTGAGTCACAGACCCGTAGACTATAACCGAAAATGACTCGACAGTTACGATATTTTTTTTGGAAGAAGACAATTACAATATTTAATAAATAGTGTATTAATTGTGACTAATAATAAACATAAAATTGTACTCCCTCTGTCTTGAATTGTAACACTTCACGGTTTACGATGTTTGATCGACGATAAAGCAAACGGATCTCTGGCTAAACTCAAATTATTTTTAGAAAAAAAGAATAACATATTTAGAAACTACTCCCTCCGTCCCGCTAAGATTGTCTCTTTTTACCTTTTCGGGAAGTTCCAGTAAGCTTGTCCCATACCAAATTTGGTAAAGTTTGTGTGGGTCTAAATCATTTTTACTTTATTCTTACTTTATCAATTTAATATCAACCACACAAACTCACTTTTCTTAATAACCGTGTCACCTTCTCATGTCCCAAACTTAGTGGGACGGAGGTAGACATTAAAAGCTTTTCAAAGTCGCAAAAACCAAAATCAAATTTTGATAAACATTTGATATATAAAGTAAGATATTAAGAATGATTTGTATTGATCAAATGAATAGGAAATATATCTTACAAAATGGGACTAATGGAGTAACAAATTAACCATGGAAATAATAGTAATAGTAATTTTTTAATTAAAAAAGAGTATCCTTCACACCTATCACCATGTTCCTCCCACAGCGTCTCACACACAACCCCACATTAATAATATAGTAAAAAAATCGCCCTTAGTGATTAATCAATAATACCAACTATAAATAACCCTACATGGTTATCCATAATTGTATAGAATCCCATTAAACAACTCAACCCTCCCCCTTCCTAGGGCTGAGCAAAACCCGAACCGACCCGCAAAACTCGAAGTTTTTTTCGGATAATATCCGAACCGAAATGGATATCCGACCCGAAAAATCCGAAACCGAAAACCCGATTAGTATTGGGCCTAGATCGGGTGGCGGGTAGGGTTTGTAAAATCCCAACCCGACCCACCCGAATATCCGAAATATATTAGTGTGTATTTTGAATATGTTAAATTAATACTTGTGTTCAATTATTTGTGTAACTATTTGTGCAATTTGTGTTAAATTATTTTTGTAATTTGAATGTGTAGTGCACTAGTTTGTACAATTTTTGTTAAAGTGACATTCCAACACTTTAATTATCTAATTATAATGTGTTTTAATATAACCGAAATATTCGAAACATATTAAATTATGTAGTGTGTACTTTGAATATGTTAAATTAATACTTGTGTTCAATTATTTGTGTAATTATTTATGCAATTTGTATTAAATTATTTGCGTAATTTGAATGTTTAGTGCACTAGTTTGTAGAATTTTTGTCAAAGGGGCATTCAAACACTTTAATTATCCAATTATAATTTTTTTTAATATAACCGAAATATCCGAAACTCGATCCGATATCCGATAATATCCGACTTACAAATATCCGAAAAACCCGATTTGAAATATCAAAAGGGTCGGGCCTAGTATTTAACTTAAAAAACCCGAACGGGTTTAGGGTACGCAGACCCGACCCGCCCGAACCCGACCCGTGCTCAGCCCTACCCCTTCCCCCAACAAGTCTTAGATCCCTCAACTTAGATCCCTCTCAAGTCTCACCCCCCACCCCCAACAAATCATAGATCCCTCAACCTTGATTGGCCCTCTCAAGTCTCAATCCCACCCTATAGCTTTCTCAATCTCTCTCCACATAAAAATAGGGCCAAGGAGAAATAGTAGAAGAAACAAGGAGCCAAAGAGAAAAAGAAAGGTCCAACCTTGACAACTCGCCATTCATATTAGGTATTTTACTGGTATCTCTCTATCTCCCGAAAATTCCTTGAAAAATCAATTTTGTCAACAGAAGTGCTTTGTGTCTGTTCAAAAATTTGAAAAATAGATATCGCTATCTATAGTCTCCACCCTTCTCTTTCCATGTATGTAGTTATGTACAATACGTAGGATTGGATGTATAGAAAGCGCGGGCCGAAATTCTGTGTCCAGCGGCCATGATTATTCACTTCCCGCCCAAAAACTTACATCCCACACCCTTCAGCTTCATCGAACGAAACCCATCTGATCGGAAAAAATCACAAATCCATTCACTTTTGCTCAACTAATACACCTGAGCTTTTGTAATGATGCTCGATCTTCTTTTGTTTATGATAGTCTTCGCGCTCTTCAGCTAACTTAGTGATGATTTCCGTTTTTAGGGTTTTGATTTTCTAATGGCAGGTTGGTCCAAAAGAGTGAATGGGTCGGGTATAGATTGCTTGAGCTCTCTTGAAACCCCCCAGGAGAAGCTTGTTGATTTTATAGTTGGGGTTAAAGGCTATAGGAAGGAGGTTGAGGGAGAAAGAACCAATGCTGAGACTGCGGTTTTGTTTACTAAATTGGTTGCTCATTTGCTTGAAGAATCACACAGCCCTAGGTGTTCTATCCAGATGCCACCCAGGATTGGGAATGATAAACCGGTTAATTTGCTTAAGCTATATCTTGTTGTGAGGGAGAGAGGTGGGTATGGGGCAGTTTCGAGGAGTGGTTTGTGGGATGAAGTTGCTAGGGAATGTGGGTTCGATTTTCCGTCTGGGGTTCCTTTGAAATTGGTTTATGCCCAGTATTTGAATGCACTTGACAGGTGGCTGCAGAAGCAATTAAAGGAGCCCAAGAGTCCGGAAAGACATAGTGGCATTGATGTTGATGGGATATCAATGGACATGGACTCCAGCTTCATGAACGTTATTAGGACGATTTTGGAAGTGAAGACAGGCAAGAAGAATGCCAACTCTGCTGACTTAGAGAATTCTAATATTGTTGAACCATCAGTAACTGTCAAAACAAACGTCACTGTAAAAAAGGATGATAATTGGCCTGCCACCACTTTTCTTAAGGAAGAAAATACCATAAGCAGAAAGAGGAAACATGAATCTTACCTTGATATGGTAAATTGGGTACTTACGGCTGCAAAGGACCCTTGTAACACATCAATTAGGGAAATACCGGATGTTTCCGACTGGAATTCTTATGGGACTGATACGATTTGGAAGCAAGCTCTGTTGCTGAAAGGATTAATGCTCTTGAAACAGAACACTGATTCAAGTTGCCAGAATTCTGTTTTGCAGGCAAGCTTGTAGTTTTTGTCTTGCTCTCTTGCACTCTCAGTATGATATCAGTAGTAACTGTTAATCAAGAAATACTTTACACTGATTCACTCTCATTCTGAGAAATATATTTGGCAATCTTGGGTATTCTTAAATGAACTTAATCTGTATGCACATAGCATCAAGTGTTTGCATATCTGCATGCATACATGCCTCATGATTATTGACCATCTTACTGATGAAAACGATGTGTCTAGTATTTTCGCCTGTGCTTGGAATCATATGTGTCTTATTTAAGGTCTTGTAGCTAAAATATCAAACATGGCCTGCGCATATTCTTTTATCATGTTATTATGTTCTACTAGTATAATCTTTATAACTACTGGATATTTTTATTATGAGTGCGATATTGTGTATTCCACGTTTTTGTAGTCCATATGCTTATAATGCTTATCAGGAGATGTAGGACCATCTATTAAATGCATCATAATGCTATAGTATGGTCCTGGCCTCCTGGGTGTGCATGCAAGCTTTGTAAATATTTGGGGGCTGTTAGCTTGTAGTCAGAGTTAAGGACTACTCTTTTAGTACCCGAGTTTTATTTCTTTTTATGTTATAGTTAGTTAAGGCATTATGAGCCTTGGAGTGGTGTGATTTAAAGACATCTTTCTGTGTCAAGACATGTGTAAATGGTAATGTTATATTATTTGGTCACATGGTCTAAATTCTAATGTGATCCATCCAATCATAGAGTAATAGGCTATGCTCTTGACGGAAAGAAGATTTTACATGTCACTGATAATCTGATATTATGTTCAACAGGATTGAGTTCAACCTAATTTTACTTGAGTAGTTCTATTTGCACTATTGTTCAGTATTTCTTCTATATTTTTGAAAACATTATATCTTGATTTTTTCATGCATATACCCACCGATTATTTAGTACGGAGTAATATATTGGTTTGATTTCAGGATATATATCAGTCCAACTCTTGTTTTTTTTTTTCTTTTAAGAAAGTGAAAATAACATCACATTCCCTCCGTCCATTATAACTTTGCCATCTTTACTTTTTTGGTTGTCCTGAAAACTTTGACACTTTCCCTTTTAATAAATTAATTTGTGGTTCCGGTTATTTCTCGCTCCTTTGCCCAAACCTATGTTATCAAAACCGGACCGGGAAGTGACCCGGCCAAGCTATTGGGTCACGGGTCAGCCCGGACCCGGAGGGTCAACGCCAGGAGTATATCTACAAAATATACTCCGTATAATATTATATAAATTTAAAATAAAAGGTATTTATTCTTTTGAATAATCAAATAATTTTAATACTTAGTAAACATTGAGAACCCAAATATAGTGTTCGAAAGCATAGTTTTAATCATATTTGAAACAATGATGTTATTTAATATCTAGAATAAATATTAAAATATATGATATAAGTTTCCAAAATTAAATATGGATATAATTACAATATCTTAGAATTGTATAAGTACTTATATTTATAATATTTTATAAAATATGTGAGTATGATAATAGAAATAATATGCATTAGTATATTTATTATGTATTAGTTAATCATAATGGTTACATTCAAAGTATCATGTTGATAAATAGGAAAGGTATAGATGTTATAAATCTTTTTTAGACATGCAAATGAACAAATCGTCAAGGTAGCAGGATGGGCAGTCGTTTGAAGAGTCTGGTAGTGCGCCCGGGATCGATTCCCGCGATTAATTTATTACATGATCTTCAGATCATATATTTTGGGTCAGCCGAGTTTAACGGGTTTTGGCCGTAGCGAGTCCGGGCCGGGTGCTGCCGGGTTACTAGATTTTTCCGGTTTTCACCCTATTAGCGGTTTGATGGGTGGCCGGACCAGATTAGGCTCTGGGTCGGGTTTCCAGGTCAACCTGGCCGGTCCGGTCTGGTTCTGGTAACATAGGCTCAAACCTCAACCACATAGTTTTCTTTATTATTCTCCGTGCCGGTCAAACTTGGCAAAGTTTTAAGTGACATAGGTAGTACTTTTAAATATTTTCCTCTATTTGGCCTTTATGCTGTTTGAAGATGGCATGGAGCTTCTATTTGCTTAGTTGGAAAATGCGAATTTAGTTTCAATCACATACATCATATTTACTCTGCGATTTATGGTAATGTTGTTTTTATGAATATTCCATAATGTTTCACACCAATCTCCTGATTTGATTATATTGTTGTTATGAAATTTCTCTTTATTTGTAGAAATCACAGAAGATGCACCCCACAATGTATGAGGACAAGAGTGCTCTTTCTGATAGAGTGAGATGCAGCCAAAGGCTTGTTGCTCAAGAAGATTCTTTCAAAAAGAAACGCACACAGATTTCTTCCATATCATCAACTGCAAGTGTTCCCAGTGCTGATGATCCAATTGACACACAGAACACACCTACACAAGATTTGGATGCTGGTCGTTGGTGGAACCAGCATCGTAGAAAGCGGACACCCGTCGGACGTAATTTCCAAGCAGAAGTACCAGAGTGGACGGGTGAGATCATAGAAAGTGATTCTAAATGGTTGGGACAACAAATCTGGCCTTTACCAAAAGGTGAGAAGCGTGGGATGTTAATTGAAAGAATCCCTATTGGAAAGGGAAGGCAAGAAAATTGTGGCTGCCAAAACCGAGGCTCCTATGAGTGTGTTAAGTTCCATATTTCTGAGAAAAGGACAAATTTGAAATATGAGTTGGGCTCTGCCTTTTATCTATGGAAACTTAATTGTACCGGTGAGGATGTTGCAACTTATTGGACCAAAGAAGAAGAAAAGAAATTTAAGGATATAGTAATAGCAGGCTCTCCTATATCAGAAAGCAAGTCTTTCTGGGATGAAATATTTAAGGAGTTCCCTAAAAAGAGTAGAGACGCGTTGATAAGCTACCACTTTAATGTTTTCCTTCTCAGGCGCCGAGCTCACCAGAATAGGTTCACACCTACCGAAATTGACAGTGATGATGATGAAGACCATTGTGGTCCAAGGGCAAACTCTTTTGGCCGGGAACCTACTAAGCCTTCCAACCCCATTTTCTCCTCATCTAAAAAGTGAGCTTAAGATCCCCACACAGTACATATGGTCTTCCGTCTTCCATTGACTTGTTTGTAGCTGTAAATTGCAGAAAATCTTAAAGTGCTTCTACTGTTGAGCAATTCTTTCTTTGGTGGGAATAGGCTTGAGGGTGCGGATGCAAACATGATAGCTATCCTTATTCACATATACCAAAATTCCTGATAGCAGGAGGAAATTTTTGCATTATGCTTATGTGTCCCAATGGTTTAAACCAGTGACTGCTCTATAAAGAGTTACTACTGTCTACTGTATTGTTTTTTCCCTCTTGAAGCATATTTTTTTAAAATTATTTAATGGAATTTCTTTCTTTAAATATTTCGTTTCATCTCTAGCTCATCTCTACCATTTCTAACGAGGGTGTTTCTCTTAGGAGGTGTTTGGATCTAGTTCTTGAAATCGCTTCTGCTTCTTCAGAGAGTAGAAGTAGATATTGGAGTGTTCAGGTGAAATTGTAGAAGTACTTTTGAGTGCTCTTAATTGCTCCTACAAGCAATTTTTTAGAAGTTGGGATAAACTAACTTCTAAAAACTGATTTTGCTTATATTTTCTTTTTTAAAAGGGAAAACTGTCAAATAGGTCCTCGAACTTTCATAAAAAGGTCAATTAAGTCCTTCTATAGGAGGTTCTGTGCGGCCGTTGCGATTTGGGGCAGTTACCAGTGGAATTTTTTGATGAAATTTTTTTAGCATCTTATTCACCAAGTCTAGCTTACCCATACCAAATTTCAGCTAAAAATTCAATCGGGAACACATTCAAATTAATTCTTGAAGATAACTGCACATTTTTGCGTTCTCGAATCAATTTGAATGCGCTCGCGATTAAATTTTTAGCTAAAAATCGGTATGAGTAAACTAGACTTGATGAATAAGATGCTCAAAAAATTTAATCAAAAAATTCCACCGGGAATCGCCCCAAATCGCGACGACCGGACAAAGTCTCCTATAAAAGGACTTAATTGACTTTTTTATGAAAGTTCGAGGACCTATTTGACAGTTTTCCCTTTTTAAAAAGAAGCAAACGCAGAATCAAATTCCAAACACTCCTCCTTACTTGCTGCGCGTTGGGCGTTGGCTTCATTGTTGTTTATGGTACAAGTTGACATTTTATGTAAAACTTCATAATTGTATTTCGAAATTGTGACCATTTAGCTCTTGGTTGGAGAACTTCAAAGAGAAGGGGAGGAAAGTGATTTTGGTTGAAAGAGCATGGTTTTGTTCTTGCTCGAGAGCTGGTTCTTTAATTATTTAGAAAATTTGGTCCAATCTTGTTTTGAGGTAAGAGGAACCTTGCGCAGTTGCGCTATGTTTGGGTGAGGTGTGGAGAAGTGTTATACCTAAAAGTACCAGGAAGTGTAGGCACGATTTAAATTGAATGATGTTGTCTTTTCTTGTCATAGAATGTGCACACAAATGATGTGTCAGTACCAAGTTCGATGTGCAGGAGCCTTAAGTGCACTAAACATCACTCCCATGTTTAATAGGAAGAGGGTATTAGGTTGAGGGCATGTCTCAATTGGTGGGAAGAGGATGCTACAATAGTAATTTGCCAAATCAATTTTCGAATTCATGCAAATGTGACGAGGGGTGACTATATAAAAATGTAAAGAGAATCTATAAGTATTTGAGCGAGAGCTTCACTGGTTCTCTGTCAATTTGTGATTAAAGCTCAATTTACATCTTACAATCTAACTATCCGGTAGGTTCTCTCATGGATGGTAGCTTTTCTGCTCTGTTTCTTTAAAGAATAAGCAAGTATCATCAACAAAAAAGAGATGGGATACCCTCGGAGCTCTGAAATATAGTGCCACCTCATGTAATTCTCCACTAATCTCTTTATCCAAATCAAACTACTTAGACCTTTTACCACAAAGATGAACAATTAGGGAGAAAGTGGATTCCATTTTCTTAGATCCCGCACTGGATTAATCGACTCAAAACCTTATCTTAAAAAGGTATGTGTAATAGCTCACCCATTTCTTGTCAAAACCAAACTTAAAAGTACTTGCCTAAAAAAGACCACTCTACTCTACCATAAACCTTGCTCAATTCTCATCCAATTTTAACGATGTTGATTGCACTATACCTTGTTTTGTACGTTGTCAATGATGCAATGTTTCAAAAGTAATCAAGACAATATCCACGATAGTGCCACCCGACACAAACACACTTTCATTTTGTCAAACTGGATAAAAAAACGTTTGTTGAGGTTTATTCCTTCAACCCTCGGCTTCAACACGTAAGCCCAAGAGTTTCGAGTGGAGTGTGTATGAATAAACTAGTCCAACTAACAAGTGAGATGGAGTAAGAAACAGTAAGTAGCAAGTAAGAGTTTAAGTATTATTAATCAATTAATAACTCACCAATACAATACTTTCGCTAAGGCTCGTCGGTCGTTCGTCTTACAAGGCAGTAGAAGAGCTGCGAGTAAGGATGCTATAAGCTAGAATGCTAAGAATAGTAAGTTGTCAACCCTTTACAATGAAATAAATGCTGCTATTTATACTACCAATGGACAGTTGACTACGCTGACGTGGAGGATTGTGAGTGGCTGGTGCTCCAACCACCAAATCTTCAGCATTAAATGTGTTTCCCGCCAGAATCCCGGTTTCCCGCCTAGCTGCGGAGACGTTCGTCCAATCCGGACAAGGGGGCCTGCTCCTGGCGTTACTTGTAAAGGGTAATGGGCCGTTCGTATCGTGGCCCTTAGATGATTTGTCACATGGATTGGACTGGCTCCAAATGTCAGTGTCTTCTGGAAGCGACGTTCGTCGCTGCTGTGATTGTCTGGAGGTTTGATCCTGAGACGTTCGTTGTCACTATACTGGTTGTGGGCCTGATCCACTATCGTATGTATGAACGCTCGTCGGGATAGGTCAGTAAGCCTAGGCCTTGGATCCACCCAATGACCTGTTTGGACGTTCGTCCAACTGAAGGTGTAAATGGGCCGGCCCTCTGTTTGGGCCATTAACCCAACAACGTTTAATCTCTTTGTCATCAATTTTGCAAAAATTAGACACCACATTACATAGTGCATCGGTCTCCAATCACTCATAAATTTTGGTCCCTCCTTTGATGGAATCAAAACCAGATGACACTTCCCCACTTTGCATTTAATCTCAGAACAAATATGAAATAAATTCGGTCCCACAATATCCCAAAAATATTGATAAAATCTTGGGTTCATACCCTCCAGTCCAAGGGCTTTATCCGAATACAAGTTCAGACTAAAGCTTAGGGGTGGGATTTTGGAACCGGGAACCGTAGAACCGCTTGGAACCGAACCGTTAACAAGATCTAGGAACCGAACCGTTAACAATTAATGCCTCATTTGTTGGAACCGAACCGAAGCGGGTTATAATGGTTCGGTTCCCGGTTCCTATAAAAAATATGTGCATGGAACCGTTAAGGAACCGTTATTAAAAAAAATAAAAAATAAAATAATATTAGTAGTAGTAGTAGTAACAATAATAATAATAATAATAATATAGCAATAATAACCACCACCACCACAACAACAATAATAAAACAATATAAGATATTTAACTAACAATTCTAATTTAATCAACGGAAAAGAAGTAATAAATATTGTACATGAGGTTGATATATACATTAAACTCCTTTCTACAAATCAAGTTTTGTTCCATCACATAAATTTTATAAATATAAAATAACTCAAATAACTTGTAGTTGATTGCACATATTTTACTTTACTACTTTCATAATATTTCTTATTATTAGATTTATTATGAATCAATAGAATGTAATAATGTTTTTTTATATCTATACATGCAAACTCATTGTCTTTTTTTTAATGTTTTGAAAGACTTGAAGTAGGCGTCATATTCTTGCTACTATGATAACAAGTAACCTTCATCGCTCCGACACTACAACGATTTTTAATGTTTCATTTATTACATGAAAATTTAAATCACTTTTGTTCTATTAAGTGTTCAAAGTTCATTAGTTAAGTTTGAGCTTTGATGTTTGAAGTGATTAAAGCTTCAAATAAATTTTTAATACTCGTGTTTTGAATTTTTGACGTGTTTAAAATTATGTGTTAATTCTTAGACGAGAAAAAAATATTCTAGGAAGCGGTAAAAGGAAGAACCGAACCGTTTACTACCGGTTCGGTTCCATAACAGTTCCTGATTTTTTATATAGGAACCGAACCGATTTCATTAGTTAAAACTTTTATAATGGTTCCACTCATTTTGAGTAAGAACCGAACCGGTCCCAGCCCTACTAAAGCTTTTCTCACTTCATCTTCACTCACACGCCTCAACAATCTTTCATTTTAGGAAAAATTGAAAATAATAATACCAACTATTGTTGGTCCGCTGAAAATAATCCCAACTATTAATTATTTTTGTATAATCCCAACTATATAGACTATCCGCCAATAATGGTCCATGACCATATATTACCTCTATAAAAAGTGAATTTTAAATAGAAAATAAACGTAAAAATTAAAAGTTGAGATTATTTATAAGGATTTCTTGCTATATCTCATCTCATCCACTTTAGAAACTACAAGAATTTATTTGTAGGGACCATTATTGGCGGAAGGTCCCTAAAGTTGGGATTATTCTGTAATAATCAATAGTTGGGATTATTATGAGCGGACCGCCAATAGTTGGGATTATTACTATCATTTTTTCCTTCATTTTATTCCTAAGTTACCTTATGCCTACCTTCGAAGTTAGTCTCATTGTTACTTGGACTTGGGCAGTGAACAACTGGGAAAAATTATCACTGACCATACTTCCCAATTCTCATGGTCTTGTTATTTGATCCCAACTCACCCTCTCCATTCAATAAACCCACCATTTTGTTTCCCCGCTTTGATTAAAAAACACTCAACTAACAAGTGTGATCTGAAGACAAAATTTACCAAAAACGAACTATATAAATGCATCAATTTAAAACGCCCACTGCCCAAGGCAGTAATTGAACCCACTAAGAAAAGTATGAAAATATTTACTTCAATATGCTGCTCAAGTTTACTATCGATGCAACACATATGATAAGTAATTTCTCAATTAATAATTAATAATTACTAATGGTGTTCCATAAAATAGAAATAGTAAGAATCTTATAATGTTTTTACTTTGACTGTTTTCAAGATATTTTCTTTTGGATTGTTTTCAATCATAGAGAGCAAACTTAAATTGACCATACCTGAGCTAAACATGACCAATCCCAGACCAGACCATAAGACTCAATGTGCATGTTTTCCAAACTTTATAACCTCTTCATCCAATAAATTATCTTCTCGCTCAGTTCATTGTATCTTATTGGAATATGCTTCAGGTTAAAAAGGTTACCGTTGTCTTGATCCAAAAATCGGTCGCGTATGTATATCAATCGTGATGTTATTTTTTATGAGGCAGATTCCCCCTATCCAACTTTCAGTTTTCTCCTGCACGATCATCTTTGATTGGATTCATGTTGTTTCATTCATTGCACCCCCACCGATTCAATATATTCATTACATGACCATAATAAGATAATTCTTTCATATTTTTCACTACATAGTTATATTCGGAAAAGTAGAATCGCGGATCCGGGTTTTAAAATCATCGATCAAGATCTAGATTGCATAGTGGATGATACTTTTGCACAAGGTACTTGAGCATATGAGAATCCTTGAAATGACATTTTTTTAATGGTAGAAAGACATCCTTAGGACCGAGGATATAAGACGTGAGTAAGAAATCAAAAAACACAAGTATGAATTGAGTAGAAAATTCGACAGCGTGAGTAGAAAATTCGGCAGCGTGACAATATGCTAAAACTCAAAATTTGGATCCATTTTTACAAGCTGGAAGGTAAATATTTGTAGTGTAAATGTACTTGGTGGACAAGTAAAATATCTAGTTTAATAAGAATGTGTCACGTGTATAGGCCGATTGGTGAGATATTTGCTAGCTTGCTTGGTTGGTACAAATGTATGGATGATTGTTCTTTGTTAACAGAATGCTTGTCAGCATTCTGTCACAAATGTCCTGATATATAATTGGGAAACAATGTGACCTCCTAATAGTTGATTTCAAGGATGGGCACGGTCCGGGATTTGACTCATCCCGATCCTGATCTGGTTTTATAATAACCGTTCGATACAATTCGGGATAAGTTTTTATCCTAATGTTATCCCATTTAAAACAAGACTAGGACAACCCGAGAAAAATAGAGACGGTTCGGGACGTCCCATAAAATATGCATTTGTGAAATTCGATATAAAAATAAGCATGACATCAAAATAAAGACGTAACTATTTTTGTAAAATTAGCTTTCCTAAAAAGTTAAGTAAAACCTCTAATTAACTATTTTTAATTATTGTATTATAAATTTTTTAGGCCCCATAATCTTGTGTTTCCTTCTAGTAGAATAGTAGCGCAAAAAATTTTTATAACTATCCCGGTTCCGCCCGGTTGATATCGGTACGAGGCCGGTTCAGGATGAAAAAGTTACATCCTAAGTGGATTGAGATAGTTTTGAAATGATATCGGGATTGTGAAAAATTACATCCTTAGTTAATTTGAGCATTTTTATAAACCTCAAAGGGTTGATTGAATGATTGAAGTACAAGGGCTTATTAGATATAGAGCCTGTTTGGTAGCACAAAAATCGGCTGCTTTGGCTGATTCTACTGAAACTTATGAAGTTCTGGCTGAAGTAGCTGCATTGGCTGATTCTGCTGATTTAAGAAAATATTATTTTTAAAATATATTTTACTAATAAAATAAAGAAAAAATTATATGTAAAAATAGCTAAAATGGTCATCTACAGTAACTTCAGCCAATACAGCCGGAAAAGTAACTCCAACCTTACTTTTTCTGCTTATTACACAATTCAGTGCGCGAAAACAAAAATTACGTGTTTGGTGAAAGTTGGCTGATAAACCTGATAAGCCGAAAAACAGTGTTTCCAAACGGCCACATAGCTTGAGAATTTACCCAAAATAGGACTAAAAAGGTTTGGAAATTCCAAAATAGGACTGACATGTTTTTATTTTTAAAATAGGACTAATTACTGCCATGTTTTGGCAGTACCAGACTTCAAACATGACAGTATTTTCCAAACTTGACAGTAATTACTCATATTTTGGGAATAAAAAACATTACAGTCCTATTTTAGAATTTTCAAACTGTTTTAGGCATATTTCGAGAACTTTCCCCATAAATATAGCTTATTTAATACGGAGTACCTGTATTGTAACTATTTACCCAAAATAGTTAACGTAATAACATCAGCTTGATTAGCTCCGTACGACCACGACGGCACCTGATACCTCTCTCTCTGTTCAACGCTCAAGCAAGCAACCGCAAGAAAGTGGGACCCACGGTGGCCCACAGAAGCAAATGGCACCGTTCTTTCCCACCTCAGCCGGTGAAACAGTTTCTCACTTTTCCCCTCAACGCCAAGGCGCCATAACCGGCATCTCCGGTTTTGCGTTATCTCTTCGCCCACAATATTATCTCTATCTCCCCCTCTCAGCGAGCTTTCCCGACACACTTTCCGATCCCTGTATTCGATCCTCTGCTCTCCGCTGTTGTTAAGTACGCCTCTGAATTATTGATTTTAATTCCCTTGGCACCCTTTTCTGTTTTGATATTGATGTTTGATCGAATAAATTGGTCGTGGATTGATGATTATGAATTATGATTATCATGATTTTGCTTTCAGCTAGTTGGTTTGTTACTTGAAGTTTATGACGGATTTATGTTTCAAATTGTTAGACAATGGGAGTATAAAACTGTTAGAAAATGGAAATGATTATTAGTGCTTTACTGTTTTCATATTTGGTGAGTGATTTTAGAGTAGGTTTTGTGTGGTTGTAGGTAGCATATAGACTAGAGAGTAATTCTAGAGTGAAGCACTTTTCTTTAGAAGCTTTAAATTATTCAGAGTACTAGCTACAGTCTTTTGTGGCTTCATCATGATCATTACCCCAATGCCGTAAAGGCTCCCACCTACTGTGGGGTAAGGGGTTGGATGTACGCAGTCTTACCCCTGTACTAAAGCACAGAGACTGTTTCTGAATGACCCATAGTAAAAATCGTGTCAAAAATTGCACAGACTAACTGTTACTTCATAACAAAGAAGCGCAGACAGTTTAATGAGTTTTACCTTGTACTAGAGTCTTTTGTGGCTTGTGTTCAATAAATGGTTTTCAATATCGCTATTTGTAGGTGTCGGAAGAGATATCAGATATCTAGATCCCTATCACATCTTCAAGAATTTAGATTTTTCTACAAAAATAGCTAGATATTTATGTTGTGTAGGACTCTTGGTATAACATTTGATGCTTGTAGAATTATACATTCTACTACTCTAGATACTCATCGACAATGCCTACAATATTTAGGTTATTCGAGAGAATACAATACAAATCTTGATTGTATACTGTGCGAGCTCATGTACTTTTATGTCGAGTTATACCCTGATTCTATTTATGAATGTGTTTGTTTGTTGTCCTTGTTGGGGTTTTACTTAGTTCGAATAGAAACCAGGGAAGTTGTACCATTTATGTATGGAGGTTGGATCCTTAGGGGTCCAAGGAGCAACAAAATGAACTTGGTGGAGAGTAATGTAAACTTTTAAAGTAGGATTGTATGAATTGGCAATTTGGCATTTGGGAAACTCGAATGCCTTTGAATTTCCTTGGCAGAGATTGTTGTAAGGTTTGATGTAGCAATGTAGCATAGTTGTAGCTTTAATGGTAATTCTTTGACAATTCGTCTTGATCAGGTTAAAATTCTCATATGACAGTCAGTTAATGACTAAATATGTGCTTACATATTTTGCTACACCATAACTTTGGTGATGATTGGCCTCAAGATCAATACTTATATTGCATTGTATTATTCTAATTATTTTTCCATATTATGGTCTTATTAATGTTCTTCTTTTAATAATGTGCGATCTGGAAAGCAGAGGTTTTTTATTTAGATGGCGAGTAATGAAAACAAGGAGTCAGATGCCCGTGGAAATGAGTGGGAGGTTGTTTCACTTACTGCATCTGAATATGCTGCTGGTGATGGGCTTAAAGGCTGTGAAGAGTATGAAGCTGAAACTTCTAGTGCATTGTTTATGTCTCGTCACTTTGCCTTTCCCCCATCAACCCAGCTTGAGTATTTGCAACCGCAACCAGGAAAGAGTGAGATTCTCATTGAAAAGGCGGTTGAAAGGGATGAATTTGTGTCTACAGATGGTGGTGGTAGGACAGATGAAAAGACTGAAGAGCATCTGAAAAGTAAAGAGGCTGACTTTCCTGGGATGCATATTTTTTATGAAACAGGTGATTTAGCTCATGGTGAAGCAGAAGTTATAGGTGCCACAACTCCGGAAGGGTCAGATTGGGTAGATAAGGAACCAAAGCTATATGACACTGGAGCCCATAGTAGTTCCTTGCAAGCAACTATTGCTTGTAGTGCCACAAGCAATGACACATTATCAGAATCAGTTCCTCAGCAGGCAGACATTTCAGGTTTTCCAAATGAGAAGAAGCATGATGGGGATGACCACCTTCCCTGTCAAGCTTGGTGGAAACGACAATCTGCATCCCTGATTGCTCATGCTAAGGAGGCAAACACATTTTGGTCGGTTTTCATTGCGGCAGCTGTAATGGGCCTTGTCATAATTGGTCAATGTTGGCAGCATGAGAGGTGGCTGCAGTTGAAGTGGCAGAATCTTGGAGGTGTCCATGATGAGGTTAGTCATCGAATGCATCAGTTATAATTATTCAACAAATTATAATGCTATACTGATTACCATTGAGGATTAGTTGTCACTTAAACACCTCCGCTCTGTAGTCTTTATTCAAGATATCCCAATTTTTCGGCAACACTTTTGAAATAAGTAGGGTGGTGATCAATCACAATGATCCTCTTTGGGGGTTTGCATCAAAATGAATCTACTATGATATGTTAAGTCATCTCTTACCGACCAAGTATAACAATCTAAAAGCTTTGAACTACTCTCTTTTTAGGATAAAATCTTAAGTCTTGATATGATATAGGAGCTAAATATAAATACATAAATTCATACTACTCCGCTTAAAGCTAATACAAAAAGTCTTGACCTACTCCTCCTCTTCAGTTCACCATATCAGAATGGAACTTTAGTCGTGAATCTCATGATGAGTTTTGAAATTCGTATTCACAACTAAACTAAAGGACAACTAGTAATAGACGATGCTTTATCCGTTGTCCATATGTACAGAAAATATGCAGGATGGTGGGTCCTCTATCCCGGATCAGAAATGCAATCATTGGAGGTGATCGTCGAGGTTCCTTCATCCGAGGTAGTGCCTCTACACAACATTAAGATGATGACGAAAAAAGATTGGGCACACTTTGTGTGGTATTGCAAAGCTTGCCCTTAATGTGTAATACGTCGTATATAAATTAAAGTCATGCTGGTATTATTATATTGGTCACTTTTGTTACTGGGATGAATTGTACGATTAATACTTCAGGATTAATACATGTAAACACAAGTCATGCAGTCATGCTGGCATTATTATATTGGTCACTTCTGTTACTGAGATGAATTATACTTGGGGATGAAACTTCATATCACTTTTTTTTTTCACTTGCATTGTCATCTCCATCTGAATGCATGATATATTACTTTTGAAATCTTTGAGTTGGTTTGATTTGTGCGCCTAAGAAAGTTCACAAGTGATCATTGTACAAACCATGCGTGTTTGGTGGTGACACCATATGTATACACTCTCATACCTTCACATACAATCCATGTCTATCACATTGATTTCGAGAAACAAATGTTTATGTGTGCATTGAAAATACATGTTTGCGAGCACCCTACACATATATTGATCTATATGTATGCACATAGACATAGATTCGAGTGTTGGTCTGTATACTTAATTTGCATATAGACTAATATACCTATGTCTATGTGCAAATACACTTGTATTTGTATTTTGTAGCTTGTTCGCAAGTGTTTTTCGTCTAGAGGATTGGACCTTACACAAACATATTTTGTTTATGAACTAATCCGATATACATGAATTGTGTATACGAAGGGTGCATAAGTGATGTGCGTGACTGAGTAAATTATGAATCATTAGTGCTTTGACTTGAGCGTGTTTTAAGAATCAATTAATTGCCTGTGCAGAATATAGAGAGGATTTGAGTTCAACTATTCACGCTCTTTTTTAAATTATTTGTACCGTTTAATAAAACGAAACACTTCTGTAAAAAAAACGAAACACTGAAAAAAATTGTGTTTTTGGCTTTTGGGGCGTAGGAACCGGAAAACTCAATGGAACTCCCAATCCATCATAAGACATGCACAAATTATTACCAGTACTAATTGTGGAGTATATTAAAAGGAACTCTTACTCATTAGTGATCAATTATCTTAGTCATTTTTTTAGACAATTATCTTAGTCATTTTTAGGAGACCAATTCAGTGGAAAGTTATTTATCCAATGATTGAACAAAATCATATATCTCTGCTCCTCTAATCTATCTTTAAATACACCTTCTTTTTTGGTATATCATAAAAATATGAATGCATTCTTAATTGAAATTCAACCAACTTGATACGGAGTACTTGTACTTTTTAACGTTATTCTTTTGTATATTTTCATCTTTTACTTTTCGTAAATCTTAATTACATTAAACAGTACTACTTAATATTTTTGAATTTGATAACGTTTTTAATTAGATAAATTTTAGTCTAAAACATATCAGATTATAGACCCGACTAGACTAGACTATTCAAAGTAAACAATAAGATCGTAGTCCAATAAAAAAAAATTCTTAAAAATATAAATTCACATTTTTCTCGTTTTCTTTTTCATATAACTCGCAACACACCTAAATACATTGTACAATAAAAAATTGATGATAGAAGTATAACTAGAAATGCTCAAAATAGGAGCAAAACATAAACAATGTTTAAAAATGTGACTAAATATAAAAAATAAAAAAATAAGCAAACCATAAAACAATGTAAGAATAAAAATCCTCTAAATAGGAACCGGTGAGATCCTCGTAGGAAGAAAATAATGCAACCCCTATTTGAAAAAATTTACAATGGGTTACTCCTATTCCGATGATAAGAAATGACTTCAACTATGTTATAAAAAGGGAAAAGGTGCAAATAGGCTCATATACTAACCAAAAAAGGTCAAATAAGCCCTTATTTAGGAAGCTATGTCCGGCAGTCGTCATCTGGGGTGGTTCCCGGTGGAATTTTTTGATGAAATTTTTTGAGCATCTTATTCATCAAGTCTAGTTTACTCATACCAAATTTAAATCGGGAAGGCATTTAAATAAATTCTTGAAAATAACTGCGCAGTTAGAAGCCATGACTAGTCACCTATTTGCACCTTTTCCCTTATAAAAATATATAGTGACTATAATTATATTCGTACATCTTTGACTATAAAAGCATGTGCATAGCCACTTTAGTCGCAATTCTTATCCATGAAAATTATTTTTATTACTACACCAGTCCCAAAGAACTTGGTCATCTCATAAAATTTAGACCATGATTTTGAATAGTATAATATTTTGGAAGTTATAAATTTTATATTTTTATGAAAGTACTTTTAACAAAGAACATTTTAATATAATTTTTAAATTGTAAATAATTTCCAATAAAAATATAAAGTTAGTCAAATTTATAAAGATGACAAAGTTTTATAGAACGATGTATTATATTTTACGTAATAATAAAAACCTTTTTAAACAATTTTCTAAAAAATACTACGTAGTACTTACTACGTACAACCGAGTAATTTCTAAGGTTAGGCGGGTTAGCGTATAGGGCCTAAGTTAACTTCACATTTCGTAAGCCCATTCTAGTTCTTCTCAAATTTATTACAGCATTTTTCACTGCACCTAGATTCCTAGAATGTAGCGCTCCATGTCTCCATTGTTTCAAGCTTCCCGCCTGCTCTGACTTTCCTAGTCTACAATTTACCCTCTTCCTTGTCCCAATTTCTTCTTCCTCTCTGACTTTGAAGCTCCAGGTATATCTCTTCCTCTTTTCTCCCAAGATTATCTCATCAAAAGGGGTTGTGTCTATAGAAATATATATACACATTCTGTTTGATGTGTGAAATACAAGCACCCGTCGTTTGTCACTATCACTACCCGTACTCCGTCTGGCCGGCCGGCCTACCAAATTCTGGCTCTCCCGACCCTCACTTACCAATCCTTCCCCGCACCGGACGCCCACTGGTCCTTCCCCACCCTCAACGGCTGCACAGATATCTACTGCGACTTCTCATGTGCCGCCGGGGTCAGAAGCGGTTGGTTGGAGTAGGGTGTGAGGTGTAATATGTGTCCAGTGTTCCAGTTCTGTTTTGATTTTAATTTCTGTTTTAAGTTTTGATTTTAATTTCTGTTTTCAAATTTCTGAGGGCACCCTTGTTTTGGCTTCTCATGGTTAGTCACTCTGATTGGCATCTATATCATAGATTGATTCATGTTAGCCGACCCCGAATTCTTGTGGGATTAAGGCTTGGATGATGTTGTTGTATGTGTGTGTTTTGGACTTTTGGTGATAAATAAATTATGTTTCACTTCCAAAAAACCCATCAAAATTTTTAAAATTAAAAAAAGGAATTCCATCAAATTTCATGGGATTCTATTCCTTAGAATCCTTGGATTCTATGGAATTCCATCAATGTCCTATGAAATCCACAATCCTAATTTTTTTTGAAATCAGAGTTGGGGACACCCCCTTAGTTTTGTTTCAATAATCCAGATATGAAACACTTCTTTTCTAATTTTTGAATTTTTAGGTACACGCTAAAAAGTAATTTACATATCTCAAAAACTGCCCCTATAATCCTACAGATACTACGTAGTTTTATAGATGTGGGGGTTTACAAATCTTACTTATAAGTATTTGTTTTTTATTATGTTTTTTCAAATTTCTGATTTTATATATTTTTATTTTTATTGATTGCAGATTGGTTCAGCTGTTTTTTGTTTGTTATTCTCTGTTTTTTGTGATATCATCGGGAACATCTATTTCATTAAAATGTGTGTATTTGAACATCTTGCTCAGATTATCTTCGTAAAAAAGGAAATATTATGCATATAAGATGTTTTGGTTTGAAAAAGTGGCATTTTGGTTTGATGTATACCGTTAGAGCGTTCTCAGCTCTCCCTCTTTTATTGGAGATAATTTAACAAAGGTTGAATATTGTTATTGAAAACTATACAAACTATCCTTATAGCTTCAATTAGGGTTTTGCATTGTTCTACACAATAGATGATTTAGTATATGTCATCATCATCATCATTACCCCATTGCCGCAAAGGCTCCCACCTACGGTGGGGTGGGGGGAGTCGGATGTACGCAGTCTTAGCTTACCCCTGTACTAAAGCACAAAGAGACTGTTTCCAGATGACCCATAGTGAAAATTGCATCGAAATTGCATGGACTGACTGTTACTTCATAACAAAGAAGCGTAGACAGTTTAGTGAGCCATTTTGCTTTAATCCATCATATTCCCAAGCCAAAAAATAGTGAGTCTTTGGCTCCATTGCAAATGATGGAAATATGTTTTAGTATATGTAGACAAATAAAATCATACAGTTCCAAGAATAATTCACTCTTTCTGGATTTGTCAAAAACTCGTGGCTTTCAGTTAGGAAATGGGTGAAGAGAAAAATCCAAAAATTACTAGAAGAGCCACTAGATTATCAGCGTCCTCTGTGGCACTAAATTCAAAAGATGTTCAGGTGGAGTTAAAACCTCTCACGATTAATGATCTTGCTTTTGGTAATGAATCCATTACCTTTGATGAATTGATGTCCACTTTACCTGGAAGGCGGGCCCAAATCAATGAATTGTTGCGATTACTAGGTCCCTTGAATTCCCCAATGTATCCTCTTTTCTTATACGGAGGGGCGTCGGTTGGGAAAACAAGCACAGTTCTTCAGATATTCAAGCATCTTAAGAGGCCATTTGTGTACTGTAGCTGCATAACTTGTTATAGCCCCAGGGTTCTGTTCGAATCCATCTTAAACCAGTTGTTTCTGCACACAAGGACTGAAAGCAATGGTTATTCAAGTGCAAAACGGTGTAGTGATAGGCCCTCGGATTTTTTGAATCTCTTGCGTGAAGCTCTGGTTAAGGTTGTTGAGGATTTGAAGAAGAATGACGACAAATCAGGATCTCCAAGGACTGCTAATGGCAGGATGATTTACTTGGTATTTGATAATGTAGAGCTCATCAGAGGATGGGATAAGCGTGAAATATTGCCTTTCCTATTTAAACTTAATGACATTCTGAAGATGCCGGAGGTCGGGTTGATCTTTGTCAGTGGTACATCTCCTGATACTTATTACACTGATGACACAGGCTGTGTGGAGTTTGTTCATGTTTATTTTCCTGATTATACAGAAGATGATCTTCATCAAATCTTTATGAGGAACCAAGCAAATACAAAATTGTATTCATCATTTCTAGGGTTAGTTATCCTTTCACCTTATTTCTAGTTGTTGATTACCTATCATAGGCTCTCTTGTAGCTGAACCATTTCATCATCATCATTGTTATAGTATAATTAGTGCTATTGTTATAATTATTATTAGAGGGGATTTTCCTATAACATAGTTATTAGAACACGTGGACAATACTACAATAGTATGACTTCATGGTCACTATAATCACTGTAAGAGTACAATCAGAGTCACTGCAATACAACCTGACTACAAAATTAACGCCATGGTCACTACGCATCAAAAGTCATATTTTTTCCTTTTATTCATATCTTAGTGATATATTCTCATCCTTCTCTTCATCTTACTTTTTTCCTTTTCTGTTTAGATTGGTGCTCAAATCTTTCTGTCGAGTCACAAGAAGAGTTGATGAGCTGTCTGCTGCCCTTGCACCCTTATTCAAGATTTACTGTGAACCCCTTGATGACTCAGGGGCTGTTCCTAGTCAAGATTTGAAAACTATATTGTTTTATCACCTGCAACCACATATTAGGCCATCCATGAATAAGGTCTTCAATGTGTCATCCCGGCCTGAAGCGGCAACCTCCAACGATACCAGCCATAATAAGAAAGTAATGAGTAAAGCCGCATTTGCTGACTCTTCTGACTTTCACATGTCTGTGTGTGCAAAGTATCTTCTCATTTCTGCATTTATTGCTTCAAGAAACCCAGCAACTCTTGATGCCTCCCTGTTTGATCCAACTGGAGGATGTGGCAGTCGGAAAAAAAAGAGAAAGTAAGAATACCCTAACTTTTGCAGGAAGTAATGTGTATCTTTTCTTTCCCTTGTATGCTTGAAATTTCTTTTTATATGTAATTTTATGTCAGGGTGTCTCAGAAATCAGTGGAGCAGAAAGAGATGACCGAGCAAGAATCTATGATGAAAGGACCAGGAACTTTTCCTTTGGAAAGATTATTGGCTATATTTCAGTGTATAACATCTGTCTCTGAATGTTTGCCTGAAGACGAAGAAGAATCAGGAAAAGAAGGAAAGAGTTGGAACAGTGGGTTGATGTCTGATGTTCTATTACAGTTATCAAGCCTCTGCAATGCTAATTTTATCAGCAAAGGAGGAAGTTGCCCTCTAGAAGGTTCAACGCGGTATCGATCCTTGGTGTCTGAAGATTTGGCTCTCAAGGTATTGGCATTCTTATTCAACCCCACCCCTACCGCCCTACCCCCACCATTCAACTTTTGATTGTTATTACATTAAAGCATTGTAATATTCTGTTTTGGTCTCTGATGACTTCAGGTCGCTAGGAGCCTAGAATTTCCCCTGTCAAAGTATTTATACAGATGACATAACTGGTTCATTGTAAGCCTGCTTTGCAAATATTGGCACTCCACATCCTATAAAAGAATCCCAAAGTAGACGCCTATATGGTTTTGGTTGGTAGCACATAAATGTCAGCCAGCTTAATGAACAGCTAAGATTGCAATCAAGCTTATCCAATTATTTATAGCAAGATTTCCAGAAGTGGGAGGTGTGTGGCTAGTGCCAACACATATTGTTGCTGCTGCTGTTGAACTGTTGTGTTTCTGTATCATTTTATTGTAGTAATCTTTATTTGTACATAAAATATAAAGATATTTTGGTTGGAAACCAAACATGTAATCATCCTACCACAAAAGATACTCCGTATCATTGAAACATTTAATGAACTCTTATAATTAATATGTATCGATATACTTGTACCTTAGCATAAGGAATATTAACTACAAATAATGATACTAATAATAATAAAAATAATAAAATAATAATGATGATAATAGAATATTATCATTATTGTATTTGGTAGGATCAAGGAATCGGGAGTCTTATCTTTTTTTTGTTACAAACATGTAATAATAGGGGTCAGGCCTGGACTCGGGCCGGACGGCCCGCCCCGGAACCGGCCCGAACCGTCGGCCCGGCCAGGGACCGGTCTGGGTAGGCCTGACCCGAGGTGCTTCCGGTCCGGGCTCGGGCCCCCTAAAACGTGAACCGGCCCGGCTGGTTCGGGCCCGGTCCGGGCCATTTTAATTTTTTTTTCAATTTTTTTTAAGTTTTTGGGTTGGGCTGGGTCTTTTGGGCCATTTGAGGTGGTTTGGGGGTGGGGGGGGGGGGGGGGGGGGTTAATTAGGAAAAGGAAAAAAAAATTAACCGAGGCCTGGCCCGAACCTGTGGGTTACCCGGGCCGGTTCTGAGCCTCTCCTTTCCTGAACCGAGGCCCGGCCGGGCCCAGGCCCGAAGTGGGCCCGAACCGGCCCGAGTCCAAGCCTAATAGGGGTTAAGACTACAATATTACTTAAAAACTACTGGTGGACAAAAATGAGTACTTATGTTTTAATTTCCAAAAATGAGACTAAAATTTACTAATAGGACCATTACACCCTTAATGAACCCAGGACCACCCAGCTTACTACAGTGACCCGGTACAGTCAGTGGCGGAACCAGCATGGATCATTTAGAGGGGCACATTAACACATAAATCATACTACCTTCAATCTTTTTTAATTGCAACATTTTCACTTTAATGTTTGTAAATGCACAAGTTTTACCACCAAAGCCGTCAATATATTTAATTCTCTATTACTAAAAAAAATTTAAAATCAATTATGAAATTTGTAATGTTACGAATTAAGCAATATTTTACAAAAAAAAAAAATAGTTATCATGCATTAATAAATGTAATTAAAACAGAATATGTGAATAGTATAAAATTTTCAATGTTGCAACTAAAGGAATCAGAAGGATATCATACATGATGTATATAAAAAGAAAACAAAAAGAAATTAATTTTGTATACAAGTCAAACAAGTTATATTTGTCAATAAAAAGAAAACAAATACTCACTCCGTTCTCTAATACATGTCTTTCTTTCCATTTTAGGATGTTCTCTAATACATGTCTCTCTTTCCATTTTTAGAAAGTTTTTTCAATAAATATATCTATATATCCTCATTCTCTTTCCTACTTTTTCATTTTCTTTCCTACTTTTTCCTTTACACACAACTCACTACACCTTTTATCTTACCCATATTAATTTTTTCTTAAATCTTGTGCCAAAGGCTATACTCTCATCTATTACAGAACGGAGAGAGTATATACAAGTCAAACTAGCATAAACTTTATTTGTAATAAATTATATTAAGAGTCATAGTAACCACTGGACATGTCGATCCAATTGTCGATCTTTTCCCTAAGTTAATTGTTGCCACATGATGCTAGGTCAGTGGGTTCAATTATCAGTGGTGCTTCTTTTTTGGGAAATACAGAGTATTGCTTAGCAATTAGCTGTGATCCGCAGGGGCAGCGCAGGCGCAGGGGCACACTGGCACAACGGGCTTATGATCGATCTGGGAGTAACATATACTAGTATATATTAAGCAAATAAAAATCCGCGGGGCACGAACACCTCCAGTGCCCAACGTAGTTCCGCCCCTGGTACAGTGACCAAAAGTGTTCAGTGACCAAAGTGACCAATATTTAAAGTGACCAAAGTGACCAATATCACAGTGACTCCGTCAAGTAGTGACCAATGACACAGTTACCAATGCTCGGTGACCACCGTCTAATGACCACCGCCATAGTGACCAATAAGGGTTAAGCTTACTAATTTACCCGTATAGTTACACCCGTTATAGTGACTACTGCCACAGTGACCACAGCCTCCGCTGCCGGCCATTGACCACCGCCGTCACCACCGGTCGGTAACTATCACTGGTGACGGTGACATATACGCAGTGACACCTCCATAGTGACACTTTCGTATTGACTCCGATACAGTTACTTCTACCACATATATCCAGACAGATTTACCACCGGAAACCACCACCGGCCAAAACCGCTAGGCACCACCACCAGTTCCTTTTCAACACAAACCTTGAACCCGACCACCACCTACCCCAGTCCCCATCCCCATCCCCACTTCCAGCATTGGCCCATGCTACCTCCGGCCACCACCGTCGGCCAGTAACCGTCGCCGCCACCGCTGGCCGGACACCGGACAAAGATACTTCTGCCACATTTACCCAATTAGATAGTGATCATAGGAAACCACCACCGTCCACATCGGTCAGCCCCTCTCCAACACCGGCCCCAACCCCTCTCCCACTTCCAACGCTTGCCCCTGTCTACCCCCATCCACCGCCGACGTGCTCCTCCGCCCCTCCTAAACCCTCTCTCCCAATTCCCAGCCCCATCCCTTACCCACCCCCTCACCACATCCCTCCCCAGATTCCCACCTGTTCAGAGTAGATCCGGTCTCTGAACCACCACAGATCCACCCCCACACCCCGTCGCAGCCTTCGCACACCTCTGCGCTAGCCCTACAACGGCGGCGGCAGATGTGAAAAAATATTTGCCTGACGAATCATCATCGTTTCATAAATTAATCCAAAATAAAGGAGAAGAATCATTAGAAGAAGAAGAAGAAGAAGAAGTGATTTAGATCTAGATCTAGATTCGGCGATGGCGATGAAGAAGAGCGCGCAACAGCAAGCAAAGAGACATGGATCCTTGCCACATATCGAAGTAGAAGAAGCATTGTGGGGCGTCTGGTGTATTAGAGTATGGAGTATGTAGCCGCCGCTTTACTTCGGTGATGGTGGTTTCCGTCTGGTTTCCGCTGTAGGCTGGGAGAGAAAGATGAAGAGGGCTGGGTTGTTGCGTTGAATTGGGAAGCAAGTGGCGCTAAAACCCAAGTAAATTCATTTTTATGAAAGGTCAAATTAGTCTATTTACTTCAAGTATGGTGTTACTTTTGTCCAAAAGAATGAATAGCCACATTAATTAATATCTTTAAGTGTCGTGTGAGTATTATTCTGGTCATTTTTTCGTAATAATAATGTAATAGTGATAATAATCAATAAATATGGTATTACCTATAATACCTATTAAAAAGTAAAAAGTTACCATAAAAAAGTAAAAAAGTTAAAAACTAAATTTGTTAACAAATTCTTCATCCCATGAAATCGACATTATAAAATAAACATAATAAAGTTTTTATTTTGAAAATATAAACTAAGGATTTATAAAATAATTTTCAATCCTGGAAACACACCTGGAAATAATTTATATAAAATATAAACTAAGCAACTTAGCTAAAACACACCTGGAAAACCGACTGAAACTCCAAAATTTATATTCAAATGTTTAGTGCTTGATCACATTATTCACTTACAACTTTGATCATTCAAAAATCCACCTGGCACTTTACTATCCTTATGTCAATACTCAAGACATATTTTTTTAACCCAGTAATGGCCAACCATAAATGGTTGCGATAGGAGCTAGGGAACATCCTACCGGTCAATAGTCAATGCACAATATTTTAAGAAATTCAGGAGAATATTACCGATTGCAATCAGTTACACTCACATAGGAGACTTGATTACATCCTACCGGTCAATAGTCAATGCATAATATTTTAAGAAATTCAGGAGAATATTACCGATTGCAATCAGTTACACTCACATAGGAGACTTGGTTAAAAAATCTTTGAAGGTATCATATTCCAACACAATCCATTGATTTCAGATTAACCACACGCTTTTATCGAGCACCAATAATTATGAAACATTGAAACCACATAAGCTTTAAGTTAAACCCGTCCTGACTCCTGAGATCTTTAAGCTGGTCACATGCTTAGGGAATTGGGTGCACAAAAAAATTAAAATAGAATGGTCCTGTCCAGGCTGTCCTACGGTCCAACTGGGCTGATTAATATAGTGAGGGTTTTTTCGTATTGAACCGATACCAAATCGATCTCAAACGGGACGAGATCGATTTACACGGTTAACATACTAGTTATCTCGAACTGCATTGTTTAGTTATATACTCCATTGGTTCCATCAGACTAATTTTTCTAATTTTGCAGTCCAACATGAAAATGAAGATAAGCGGACAAAATAATATACTATAACCAACAAAATAACATATATTCAAGGGTCTGGTCTGAAACCCTGAAAAACTACAGCAAGAATATAAAGGGTATAAAGTAAATGGAAATTTTGGAAGGAATTAACGATTTGGGCAAAAACAAACTCATTTCATTTATGTAATTCTAATATATAAACTCTAAGATATGTACATATAAGTCAAACTTTAAAGAATAAATCAAATTTTATTGTCATTCATAATTTCCAAATTAACAAGCTAACGTAAAAAGTAAATTTCCTTCGGCCCCCCCATTTCACTACCATCTCTCGCATTCCAAACGTAGCCTAAGAAAAAGAAACAGGTTTCACAAATATTTCAAATTACATTGTTAATACCAACTACCAAGTTATCAACATGATCAGATGCAACGACCAACACAAAAACCAATTTACCGTTACAAACTCAACAAAGGCTATGCCTGTTGAATGATTATGGTCACCAAGCAGCCTCAGGCGATGAACCAGTATATATTGAAATATAAACCATCATAAAGAATCAGCTCTTCAAGTCAAGAGAAAAAAATGTGATGAGTATTTCACACAAGCCGAATATAACCTCTCCACATATGGTTTCAAAGAAGAGCTTGACATCCAAATGTGTAACCTGTTAGTAGAATAAAAACCTTTTAAGATCAATCTAATGACTGCATAACTCATTTAAAATAATGAAATGAAGAAGAGAAAATTACACTTACCTTCTTATCAATATTTGTGCAATATATAGTTCGTGCACACATTTCTCTCTCATCTTCTGACTGCATGCCACAAGAAAAGGTAATAGACGA